GTCTACCTCATTCTGAGTCAGATTCTGCACATCTGTCTCAAGCAAAGCTTCCCTCTTGGGGCTGTTCAAGGCTCTGTGCTGTAAAACTTGAAAACTATGGCATCACTATGTGGTGTATTGTATCCTATTGTACAGTGCTTGCACTGAATCCCTTTTTATATAAAATCTCTGCATATAGAGTTTTATAAGAAGGGGCAGCCGTTTGTGAAACATACAATATTATGGGTTAAAGTACTGTATCTGGGGTATTTCTGATGGAAAATGCTTTTAACTTTTTTATTGGTCTTTTGTCTTGGGGGCCTTCTATCCTTTTTAGTGGGAGTGAAAGTTCCGTACTAACTAAAATCTGCAGAGCTGGTATGAGGAAGGCTTTCTCTGACATTCAGAAATGGGTGTGCCATATATCCCCTGGGAAAAGAAGCTAAGTTCCATTGAAATTGTTGCTTATTGTCCATTAGTGGGTCCTGCTCCCACCCCTGCTTGCATGACATGTAGTATTGAAGTGATAAGGAAGTGACAATAAGAAATAACTCTGATTACTATATAATGAATAATTTAGTAATATCTAACAAAGCTGTATTAATTGCTGTTCATCCCAGTGAAAAAGCTGCTAAATTGTCTGTAGTAGCTACTGAAAAATGAACTGCCATCCTGCAGATCCCTTTCAGCTTTTGTAAGAAACTGTTGAAACTGTTAACTACAAAGTTAAAATGCTCTTCTTATAGTTTTAAAGGCAAGATGCAAGGCTTTCAGTGTGGTTTCTAAATCCGTTGGCTAAGATGCATATTATTAGTGGTGGGGCTGAGTGGTCACAAAGTTCGGATACTAATTCTGTGAAATGTAAAACTTTTGGTTTGGGCCCATCTCCAGGATAAATTTAACCACATGCAACGTTACAGAAGCTGACTCTGAAGGGCTGTTGAGGTGTTAGTTCTTTCCACTCATACTGGCAGTGCAATTTTCCATCAAAATTTTGCTTTTACTGTTATAGACCGGAGGCTCTTCATAGAGCTTTTATGATTTTGTTCCCATGGAAACAACCTTATTTTGTTCTGGTATCACTGGCAGGTCCTGTGAATACAGCTAAGAAAGAAGACAGTTTTCTGTATGCAAATAAGTGATTGGAATACACTGCAACAGAACCTTGACATTTCACGTTGGGCTGCACTACAAATAGGTCGTTCTTGAAATGCTTGGTTTAAGTCAGCGACTGCGTCATTTCTTCAAAAAGCGGTTCACTAGCCATGAAGTTTGCATTGTACCCTGGTGATACACTTTTAACCAAAAGGCAACAAAAAAGATTCAAATGCACCGATTTTCCTCTGTGGAAATTTTTTAAAATTGGCCCATATGCACAGACTTGTGATGTTGGCCCAGGTGGAAGGGCACTGCAGATCTTTTAATGGGTACTGGTCATTAGGTTATTTAGGCCATTTTGATTTATGCCCTTTCATTGAATGATCCAGGCTGGGAACAATCCACTCTGCTTTTGTCCAGGAGTCCTTTACCTTGTGCTTGTCCTTTACCAAGTGTCTGTACCTAGTGTTGTTCCTTTTGCCCCCTGAGTTTTCCATGCATGTGCTGTAGCATGCTGTGGATAATACCTCTCAGATCAGGACTCTCTTTTCGTGAGGCACTGTTTTGGGCTTCAGGTGTGACCAAATGTTAAACAGTATTCAATACCCTTTCTGGTGCCTGGGTAGGTCACACAAAACAGATGATACTTGCAGCCTTGTACAAGACAATGCTGTTGCAAACCTTACAGAAAGCCCAGGTTTTGCGGGTTAGTGAAAAGTGGAAAATCTGGATTTCCCCTTCATTTTCTTGCTGTAGTAAAAGGCAAATTTTACAACAAACTGTGTTTCCCACTATGAAGCCTGAAGAGCATTTACAAAGGCATTCTCCCCAAACTTAAAGCCACCACGTTGAGGTTACCAAGCGTTTTTCACCTGTTAACCCCATATACATTCTTCTACAACCCATATCCCAGAATATTTGTAGTTTTTTCAGTTCAAATAATCTAAAATGGTACAGTACATACTGATTTTATTTATAAGATCATTGTGCCATCTGTGGCCAAAATAGACAGTTACATTAAACATCTATGACTTATTTAAAAAATATTACAGGTACAATATGCATGTGCATCTTTAAACTATGATAAATTGTACATTGCCTAATGCTCTGTATTCAATAACCTGAATAACTGTTTCTATTTATGTTCAGATGATTACCTTCACAGCTAGAAAGATATCTATTTGCTGATAGATTATCATTTTCTGTTTTTTAGAAGAAAAATGTCCTCAACCCCAGAAAACAGTTACTTAGCTCATTTAAGGAGTTGGAAAGTGAACTTCCTCCACCTGCTGATGATTTTAGATTTTTAGCATATCTATTACTACTACTAATACAAGAACCAGTCTACTCTGTCAGGGTCACCAAACAAGTCTTTTCCATCTTTAATGCTGTTTCTTGAAACAGTTGCCTGTTTGATCTTCAGGTTTCAGAGTAGCAGCCGTGTTAGTCTGTATCCACACAAAAAAAAAATGCATTCTATGCATCCGATGAAGCGGGCTGTAGCCCACGAAAGCTTATGCGCTAATAAATTTGTTAGTCTCTAAGGTGCCACAAGTACTCCTGTTCTTTCTGTTTGATCTTGACAATTAAATATGCCCCATAGATACTACTAAGGAGAAACTACATTGTTTTCTGCAATTCTGCTGTGTAGCCAGCGGAGGGCACAGAAGCTTATCAATTAACCTTTTACAGTTATCTTGGAAGGCAAGCTAGAGCATTTGTTAATAAAGCTTCTATTAATATATACATGAGTCTTAGGTTTTTGTCCCAAAAACAAATATTACGGATCAAATCTTTGCAGTAACTCAGAATGATAGGAGTGCCAAATATTGTATTTGCAGCCTCAGGGATGAGAGTGGGTTTAAAGAACCCAGATGTGCAAGGAGAGAAGCTGAAGCATTTCATTGGAATATTGTTTGAAAAACAAAGCAACTTGGAAGCCTCTGATGCTGCTCACTCTGTGTTTGGCTAGAAGTCACCTCGCTTTTGTAAATATGGACACTTAACCTGCTCCTTATACATAAAAATATTTTGTTATTTAGGCCCCTTTCTGGGACGTGCATCAGAATATCCAGAGAGTCTATAGTGATGGAGAAAGTGATCTGATTAAACATCTGTTACCTTGTATAAACATAAGATTTTAGTTTACAACCTGTTTGTTAACATCTCAGTCATGCCAGGTATTGTTCAGAGGTAGACTGTGAACACACAAAACCCTATTGAAGTCCAGGGGAATTTGTGCCAGCACAGAGGTCTACCCATGAGCAATGCATTGAGGAACAGGGACTTGACTGCAAGGTCTATGGGGCAGGGATTGTCTCTTACTATGTGTGTTTATGGTACCTAACACAATGGAGCCCTAATCCTCCTTGGTGTCTCTGGGTCCTACTGCCATACAAATAGTTAATTATAATAAAGGAAGAAACTGGAAATGCCATGTTAATGTTAAACTTCATTATTAACATAAGCAGAAAACATCATGTGTATATACCAGCAGAGTATATGTGTTTTCATGTGTATGAAAGGGAACACTCGCTATCAAGGGGTGAGGGAGTATTTGATTTCTGTTAAGTGAAATGCCTAAAATAGAGGGGGGAAGTGTATCTTCAAATTTCTAGAGGGAGCACACAGGGTGAGTTCTCACCCAGGCTTTAGCACTGACTTACTGGTTGATTTTGGACAAGTGACTTAACTTCTCCATGTGTTGGTTGCCTTATCTGTGAAATGATGATAGTAATACATAATTACTGTACGTTCCAGATATGGCATTAGGAGTAACTACTGTGTTTAAGTGCTTGGAGAGACAAAGCAGAGCATGAGCAGTTAGGATTATTTAGACAGTCCAGCATAATGGGTCTTCATATAGTTTAGAGAGAACACTAAAATCTGTGTATAATGCCAATTTTAAACCCTCTTGGCTTCACTACTGGTGTGTAGGTAAGTTTTAAGCAAAGGGGGTCATTGAGTTATTATAGCTCTGCATTACCATTTGGTGAGACTTTATTTTTTTCCTAACTTTGTGAGGTTTGAAATGCAGCTTACATATGTGATTTACAGTATCTCATTTGATTTACTCACTCAGACTGTTGCAACCTTCTGCAAAACAAGAACTATCTCGCCGAGATAAACTTTTTTTTAATGTAGCATTTCCCCTTTCCTGCCCCCCTCGACCCCCAATCAACACTTGATTGAAAATCAAAGTTAATTGTAATGCCAGTTCAAAAGTGGCCATGCTTATCAACACTGATTGTCATAATATGTTGGTTATTCAAAATGGAGGTTATTTTTCATAATGCATGTCACAGACTAACTCTTGCTATGAAGAGTGAACTTGCGTATGACATTTTAAAAGAGAATGTATATAAACAGTTTCTCTTATATCCTAAAGTACACTAGTAATGTTACAGTATGACATTTATAAAGAGCACCTTTTACATTTAAAAACAAAAATAACAGATTAGCCTGCTATGAAGTGTGAACTTGTGTATGACATTTTAAGAAAATGTATATAAACAGTTTCTCTTCTATCCTACAGTACACTAGTAGCATTACAGTCTGACATTTATAAAGAGCACCTTTTATATTTAAAAACAAAAATCACAGATTAGCCTGATTATGGCATGAAAATAGTGATTTTTTTTGCTTGTTTTTTGCTTGTTTTTTCTCTGTTAACCAGATAAGTGTATCTGCTTTTATCTGGTTATATACTTACACAGTTTTCCACTTTGTTTCACTTAATAATGACAAAAGTGTTGTTGGAATGAGTCTTTGAATTTGTGTCTGTGCAACTTTTGTTATGCAGCCTTTCTCCTGAGAATGTAGCTTCAAATTAATCATCTACAACTGAACATAATTCTTCTAATCTTTCATTTTACTGGGTAAACAGGTTACACTTCTCACTTCAATATTCTTTACCTCTTTAGAAAGCCAGACTTGGGCCAGCTGGTAACAAAGTCATTACTCCAATAGAAGACAGGATTTCCAATATACCATCCAACAACCTGGACAGTGTGAAGCTGACAGATTTCAACTTTCTCATGGTGCTTGGGAAGGGGAGCTTTGGAAAGGTAGTTCCATCTGCCTTATTTTTAATAATAGAAATGAACTGAAAATTGTCCTTCTATGAACTGTTTATAAAATGCAGATTTTTTTCCAAGTGAGAGTAAGTAACCATTGGAACCAATTACCTTGAGATGTGGTAAATTCTCCATTATTTGGAATCTTTAAATTAAGACTGGCTGTCTTTTTCTAAAAGAGATGCTTGTCTCTGTTTCAACCATAAGTTGTAGGGCTAGATGCAGGAATTACTGAATAAAAATCTGTGGCCTGTGCTGTGCAGAAATATAGATTAATTGAACCTTTCCAGCATTAAAATCTATGAATCTATTAAACAAAGAGCTGGAAAATGCCATTGTATGCATTTGCTGCAGATTTTAGGGTTTCAGTTTTTAAACCTTGTCTCTACGTACTATACAAGTACTGTTATCTTGATTATTTTTACATCTAATAACCTGCAATGAAGACCTACCAGTACAGGAGAAGATTTTTATATGTATGAAAAAGATTACTTTTTGTACTGATAATTAACTGCAAAAACGTGGGATGGGGGTAGTATTTGTTTTCCAGTATATGAAATGTCCAGAGTTGGACGGTCAGCTGTCTTGATGTTCCACATTGTTGGGCTAATTTTCAAGCCTGGGTGATATAATAGACATTCAAATTCTATATCTGTCACTTAAGTGTGGACATGCCACTTAAGTCTGGAGATGCTTAGTTTATGCCCCTAGGCACTCATATAGGCTTTAAGTTGCATGATAAAAAAAATTGAGTTCCTAAACTTTAAATGTTAGGTAATTCCAGATTTTCGATACAGAGCTGGGCTCAAGAATCCAGATCTGACCTTCCCCAAAGTTCAAGGAGATTCAGGCTCATCTTTGGTGGTGGTGATGAAGATAGAGCTGTTACGTCGGTCACAATGCTATTTGTGAAAGCTGTCATCGTGCAGTAGGAATGAATATTTTGGAAACGTCAGGAATGAGAAATACAGTGAAAACTGTTAACCCACTAAAGGTGCTGCTGTGTTGCCGGCTGTTTTAACAAGCGGTTTTTATAACAAAAGTGCATTTTATGGAGGCATTCAAGTGGGGTCTGTCGTTTTGTTGGCCACAGGAGAGGAGCCCAGGATTACCTGGGGGCTGCCGGCCCAGGTGTCGGTGTAAACACTATTTTTGAAGTGATAGCACAGCTCGTTGTAATCCGTGAGTAATCGTGATATTTTTAGAGCTTCTGGACAAGTCAGTAAGTGCTGGTAAAATGGGAAGCTGGTGTGCCATTTACACCTTTCTCGGGGCTTGTGAGTCACCTCCATTCTCTGCCAGCGAGGGAGATTTTCAGCCTCTCATTTCTCTTTGTGCAGGTGATGCTGGCAGACAGGAAGGGGACAGAGGAGCTGTACGCAGTCAAAATATTGAAAAAAGATGTGGTGATTCAGGATGATGATGTGGAATGTACCATGGTTGAAAAACGAGTACTAGCGCTCCAGGATAAGCCACCTTTCCTAACCCAGCTGCATTCTTGCTTCCAAACAGTTGTACGTGATGTCTGTTCTTTCTTGCTCCTCCACTTCTTTCACAGTTTAACCTGCTGCTAAGATAACACTCGGATGTATTTTATTATCTCAGTAACATTTATGATCTTCAACTTGCAGATCTCATGGGTGCTTTACACAGAAAAATGTAAAGAAATAGATACCTTGTGAAATCGGGAAAATCCATAAAAAAAATAAATAGATCTTTATAATCATAATAAATAGATCTTTAGAAGTATTCTACAGCAACTGGTTATACAGAGCTTTTCTCTTTCTGTATATAAGAACTCGGTTATCTCAGTGGGACTTTTCATATTATTCAAGTTGAGCATGTGCTTAAGTACTCTGCTTGATTGGGGTCTTAATGCCCCAGTAATCTAATGAGATAATTATTTATTAATTAATATTATTGACATAGTTAATTTGGTTCCCTGGTACCCCTAAGATAAGGAGGCTGAAGCCAGGATGGTAGTTGGTGAGCAAAGAATAGGTGAGTGCTTTTTACTTCCCCTAAGTCTATGATACCAACCATAGCATGTAATATACGAAAAGGTTCACCTATGGAGTTTGTGTTGGTGATATAAGGACCAGAAGATGATAGTACATGTCAGAAGATGGTCCCATAGTTCACAAGGAATGGTAGTGGTAGCCATTTAATTCTAAATGTAGTGCTCTTTTTTGTGGCATGGACATTTGTCTACTTAGATAAAGTCAAACCCCAAAACTGCAAAGATTTAAGCATGTGTACAATGAGTGTATAATTTTACATACAAGCATAAGTCTTTGCAAGAATGAGGTCTCATTTTGCATCATCTTTTCACCATCCAGTGGTGACACATTCAGCTACCAATCTGAACTGAACACTCTAATCTGCCCCTGCGCTGTTAAGAAGGATGAAAAGCCCAGAGAAGGAGAGCAGTCAACGGGAACAGAGGGAAACCTTCCCATAGTTGGGACCCTCCTTCCAGATGATGTTGGGGTTTCCTCTCACACTGAGGTTACCTCTCTGGGGGAGGGAACTCTGGTCATTTGGAAAAGGCAGGTGTTAGTAATGGGAGATTCGATCATTAGAAACATAGATAGCTGGGTTTGATGACTGGGAAAACCGTATGGTGACTTGCCTGCCTGGTGCGAAGGTTGCGGATCTCTCGAGGCATCTAGATAGACTTATGCGTAGTGCTGGGGAGGAGCCGGTGGTCATGGTACATGGAGGTACCAGTGACATAGGGAAGGGTAGAAGAGACATCCTGGAGGCCAAATTTAGGCTGCTAGGAAAGAGACTGAAATCCAGGACCTGTATGGTGGCATTCTAAGAAATGCTTTCAGTTCCACATGCAGGGCCAGGTAGGCAGGCAGAACTTCAGAGTCTCAATGCGTGGATGAGACAATGGTGTAGAGAGGAGGTATTTAGATTTATTAGGAACTGGGGAAACTTTTGGGATAGGGGGAGCCAATACAGGAAGGATGGGCTCCACCTAAACCAAAGTGGATCCAGACTGCTGGCACTTAACATTAAAAAGGTTGCAGTGCAGTTTTTAAACTAAGAGATGGGGGAAAAGCGATTGCTGCAGAGGCGCACGTGGATTGGACAGAGATTTCTCTTAGAGGAAAGTCTATTGATAGAGATTCTCTAGGTTTTAGTCAGGAGGAGAGGATGGAAGAGGATAAAGTATGGGCCAGATCAGACGAGGAACATTCACGTAAAGAATCTGACACATCAGAAAAGGACAGACAAATAAACAGTGACAAGCGCTTGTACACAAATGCCAGAAGTCTAAATAATAAGATGGGTGAACTAGAGTGCCTCGTGTTAAAGGAGGATATTGATATAATAGGCATCATAGAAACCTGGCGGAGTGAGGACAATCACTGGGGTACAAAATATATCGGAAGGACAGAACAGGTCATGCGGAGGGGAGGGGAGTGGCACTATATATGAAAGAAAATGTAGAATCAAATGAAATAAAAATCTTAAATGAATCCACATGTTCCATAGAATCTCTATGGATAGTAATTACATGTTCTAATAAGAATATAACCGTAGGGATCTATTATCGACCACCTGACCAGGACAGTGATAGTGACAATGAAATGCTAAGGGAGATTAGAGAGGATCTCAAAATAAAAAACACAATAATATTGGGGGATTTCAATTATCCCCATATTGACATATTGTATGTGTCATCTCAGGACGAATGCAGAGACAAAATTTCTCCATACTTTAAATGACTGCTTCTTGGAGCAGCTGGTACAGGAACCCACAGGGGAGAGGCAATTGTCGATCTAGTCCTGAGTGGAGCGCAGGATCTGGTCCAAGAGATAACTATAACAGGACCACGTGGAAATAGTGACCATAATATAATAACATTCAACATTCCTGTGGTGAGAAGAACACCTCAGCAGCCCAACACTGTGGCATTTAATTTCAGAAAGGGGAACTATGCAAAAATGAGGAGGTTAGTTAAATAGAAATTAAAAGGTACAGTGACTAGAGTGAAATCCCTGCAAGCTGCATGGACACTTTTCAAAGACACCATAATAGAGGCTCAACTTAAATGTATACCCCAAATTAAAAAACACAGTAGAAAAGAACTAAAAAAGAGCCACTGTGACTTAACAACCGTGTAAAAGAAGCAGTAAGAGATAAAAAGGCATCTTTTTAAAAATGGATGTCAAATCCTAGTGAGGTAAATAGAAAGGAGCATAAACACTGCCAAATTAAATGTAAAAATGTAATAAGAAAAGCCAAAAAGGAGTTTGAAGAACAGCTAGCCAAAAACTCAAAAGGTAATAACAAAATGTTTTTTAAGTACATCAGAAGCAGGAAGCCTGCTACACAACCAGTGGGGCCCCTGGACGATGGAGATACAAAAGGAGCACTTAAAGATGATAAAGTCATCACAGAAAAACTAAATGAATTCTTTGCTTCAGTCTTCACGGCTGAGGATGTTAGGGAGATTCCCAAACCTGAGCCGTCTTTTGTCGGTGACAAATCTGAGGAATTGTCACAGATTGACGTGCAACTAGAGGAGGTTTTGGAATTAATTGAGAAACTTAACAGTAACAAGTCACCGGGACCAGATGGCATTCACCCAAGAGTTCTGAAAGAACTCAAATGTGAAATAGCAGAACTATTAACTATGGTTTGTAACCTGTCCTTTAAATCTGCTACTGTACCCAATGACTGGAAGATAGCTAATGTAACACCAGTATTTAAGAAAGGCTCTACAGGTGATCCTGGAACTTACAGACTGGTAAGTCTAATGTCAGTACCGGGCAAATTAGTTGAAACAATAGTAAAGAATAAAATTGTCAGACACATAGAAAAACATAAATTATTGCGCAAAAGTCAACATGGTTTCTGTAAAGGGAGATCATGTTTTACTAATCTATTAGAGTTCTTTGAGGGGATCAACAAACATGTGGACAAGGGGGTTCCAGTGGACGTAGTGTACTTAGATTTCCAGAAAGCCTTTGACAAGGTCCCCCTCACCAAAGGCTCTTATGTAAAATAAGTTGTCATGGGGGAACATCTTGGGGACATCATCCCCAAGAGGGAAGATCCTTTCGAAGATTGAGAACTGGTTAAAAAACAGGGAACAAAGGGTAGGAATAAATGGTAAATTTTCAGAATGGAGAGGGGTAACTAGTGGTGTTCCCCAAGGGTCAGACCTAGGACCAATCCTATTCAACTTATTCATAAATGATCTGGAGAAAGGGGTAAACAGTGAGGTGGCAAAGTTTGCAGATGATACTCAACTGCTCAAGCTAATTAAGAAGAAAGCAGACTGTAAAGAACTTCAAAAAGATCTCACAAAACTAAGTGATTGGGCAATAAAATGGCAAATGAAATTTAATGTGGATAAATGTAAAGTAATGCACATTGTATGTATAGTTGGGGTTATTTTTTCCAATATGATGGGGGCTAATTTAGCTACAGCTAATCAGGAGAAAGATGTTGGAGTCATCGTGGATAGTTCTCTGAAGATGTCCATGTAGTATGCAGCGGCAGTCAAAAAAGCAAATGGGATGTTAGGAATCATTAAAAAAGGGATAGAGAATAAGATGGAGAATATCTGATTGCCCTTATATAAATCTATGGTACGCCCACATCTTGAATACTGTGTACAGATGTGGTCCCCTCATCTCAAAAAAGATATACTGGCATTAGAAAAGGTTCAGAAAAGGGCAACTAAAATGATCAGGGGTTTGGAACAGGTCCCATATGAGGGGAGATTAAAGAGGCTAGGACTTTTCAGCTTGGAAAAGAGGAGGCTAAGGGGGGATATGATAGAGGTATATAAAATCATGAGTGGTGTGGAGAAAGGGAATAAGGAAAAGTTATTTACTTGTTCCCATAATATAAGAACGAGGGGCCACCAAATGAAATTAATGGGCAGCAGGTTTAAAACAAATAAAAGGAAGTTCTTCACTCAGCGCGCAGTCAACCTGTGGAACTCCTTGCCTGAGGAGGTTGTGATGGCTAGGACTATAACAGAGTTTAAAAGAGTTTAAAAGAGAACTGGATAAATTCATGGAGGTTAAGTCCATTAACCAAGATGGCTATTAGCCAAGATGGGTAAGGAATGGTGTCCCTATCCTCTGTTCGTCAGAGGGTGGAGATAGATGGCAGGAGAGAGATCACTTGATCATTACCTGTTAGGTTCACTTCATCTGGGGCACCTGGCATTGGCCACTGTTGGTAGACAGGATATTGGGCTGGATGGACCTTTGGTCTGACCTAGTATGGCCTTTATTGTGTTCTTAAGTCACTTAGGTGTTTTGAAAACATTACTCTAGATGTCTAATTTCAGACACCCAGGTTTGTACATTTTTTGGACAAAGCCATTTTAACACTGCGAGAAAATTCTCCCTCCAAAATGCCTTAAATCTGCCTTTTGCTGAAGTAGGGAGTGTGGGACAAAAATGATTTGGAGTTGGCCAATTCAGTATCAAGACTCATGAACCCAATTTTCTGAAATCATATTAATAGTTTTCTTGTCACCTTCTTTTAAAATCAGGTGCGCTTTCATCTTCCTTGTCTTCCTAGGGAAAATGTTACAACATAGGTTTGGAAATGCCCATTTTCACAAGGCAAGAATTTCTAACCATCTGTAGAGTTTTTTGTTGTCTTAAAAAACATGAGCTTTTGGGCTTAGCTATGTCTGCCTGCCTGTATGAACAGTACTTGTAACATTGTGGGCACTACTGTAATACAAGTAATAAGAAATAAACTTGCATCACTAAAATGGGAAAGGCTGAATGGAGTTCCAGCCTGGCACTGACCCTTGCAACATCTATAAGTCATTTTATTTCTGTTTCCTGATCTATAAAATTGTTTTTGCCATAATGTGCAGAATATATAGACTCATTCTTATTGTTTTGTATTATAATCTTTATAGTAGTGACCCCTACTGGAGAATACATCACTGTTCATGCCTAATGAGTTTACCTTTTTAATAATATGTTCTACTGGGCAGTACATATGCCAGTACATAGTACCTTATGCCTAATGTGTTTACCCTTTTTAATACTATGTTCTAGGATCGTCTGTACTTTGTTATGGAGTATGTGAATGGTGGTGACCTCATGTATCACATTCAGCAAGTAGGAAAATTTAAGGAGCCACAGGCAGTGTGAGTGTTCGTTGATTTAAATAAAGTCATTACTAATTTTACACTGCAGCAGAGGGATCAGATGTGTCCAGTATGTACAGTATTATATAGAAATTGGGGCTGTCATATTTTTATCCAGTCTAATAGAAACTTTGTGGGCCTGCTGGTCTAAACACACAGCATATATTGTAGGAGATAGCTTCACCTTGGGGGGAAAAAATTTAAAATCAATGGCGACAAGTTTTTCAACAAGTAAACCAGAGTACAATATGGCTATTAACAATTCACACTAAATGAACAACACTGTGAGAGACAAGAAACAGATTCAGCATTTACTATGTAATTAAGCTTAATTTAATGCATATCCAGTGATAGATACCGTGGTCATACTTTATATTAAGGTTCAATTTATAGATAGTTTTAAGAGTTAATACATTAATAGGTGTTTTAATAAATAGTTAATCAAATTGTTATATATTGTTATGATGTCCAACAGATCAATAGGGTTGCTAAGCATCTGTAACACCTTCTGATGTACTTTTCTTTAAAGTGTGCTACTCAAGTTTGTAAAATGCTTTTAATGTCTATTAATCATTTATTAGCATTTTATAAACAGTTTATCCATTAAACCTTAATGTAAAGTGTGACCTGTTCTGTTTTTAAAAAATGAAGAAAAATAGCTGTTAAGTTGGAACTTGCTCAGTATGATTAAAATCATCAAGGAAGAGTCATTAAAAAAAACCTTAATTTTAAATATTTGACACATAAAAGACAAAAATGTAAGCATGACCTGACTAAGTACTAAATAAAAACCAGAGTCATCTCACGGGTCAGATCCTCAGCTGGTGTAAATGTACATAGCGCCACTGATTTCCAGCCGGTATATATTGCCATAGCTCCTGACGTCTGTGGAGCTATGACATTGTACACCATCTGATGGCCTGCCCCGTCAAAGAGACTAAAAACAATTCTGAACCAGCATTTTAAGAGCTATGTTGCCTGCTCCTTTTTATTAAATGTAATAATCAATCTTGTTTTTTACTGGCCTTCTTGCATGTAATTGGCACATCTCTGCAGTAGAATCATAGAATATCAGGGTTGGAAGGGACCCCTGAAGGTCATCTAGTCCAACCCCCTGCTCGAAGCAGGACCAATTCCCAGTTAAATCATCCCAGCCAGGGTTTTGTCAAGCCTGACCTTAAAAACCTCTAAGGAAGGAGATTCTACCACCTCCCTAGGTAACGCATTCCAGTGTTTCACCACCCTCTTAGTGAAAAAGTTTTTCCTAATATCCAATCTAAACCTCCCCCACTGCATCTTGAGTCCATTACTCCTCGTTCTGTCATCTGCTACCATTGAGAACAGTCTAGAGCCATCCTCTTTGGAACCCCCTTTCAGGTAGTTGAAAGCAGCTATCAAATCCCCCCTCATTCTTCTCTTCTGCAGGCTAAACAATCCCAGCTCCCTCAGCCTCTCCTCATAAGTCATGTGTTCTAGACCCCTAATCATTTTTGTTGCCCTTCGCTGGACTCTCTCCAATTTATCCACATCCTTCTTGTAGTGTGGGGCCCAAAACTGGACACAGTACTCCAGATGAGGCCTCACCAATGTCGAATAGAGGGGAACGATCACGTCCCTCGATCTGCTCGCTATGCCCCTACTTATACATCCCAAAATGCCATTGGCCTTCTTGGCAACAAGGGCACACTGCTGACTCATATCCAGCTTCTCGTCCACTGTCACCCCTAGGTCCTTTTCCGCAGAACTGCTGCCTAGCCATTCGGTCCCTAGTCTGTAGCGGTGCATTGGATTCTTCCATCCTAAGTGCAGGACCCTGCACTTATCCTTATTGAACCTCATCAGATTTCTTTTGGCCCAATCCTCCAATTTGTCTAGGTCCTTCTGTAACCTATCCCTCCCCTCCAGCGTATCTACCACTCCTCCCAGTTTAGTATCATCTGTAACTCTGACTTCAAAAGCTCATCATTATTGTATATACTTAAACTACTTTTGGCAATGATATTGCATAGGGCAGGCAGTTAGTTCAATTAGCTTGAGGTAATTCATCCATTAACATTTGTATAAAGGAATAATATTTTTATCAATTATTTTAATGATGTGTGAATCTCAGTGTAAATAAATCAGCATTATGAGTCATAAATAATCTGATATGATCAGGCATTGAGAGGAATGACCTATCCAGTCAGATTACTTACCACATAACTGCCATGTAATAAGTGCACTGTTCTTCTTAATTTAGGAAGAAATGCCCAATTGTTTTACCCTGTCTTGTCAAAATATTATCAAACACTTGATGAATTACTTTGAAAATCAAGTTGATGCAGGATATTATCTTTACTGCTTTATATATACAAGAATGCAATAGCTTCTCCTACTCCTTTGCTTTAATTCTTTGGTGTGGTGAGTTTCAAATACATTTCTGCAGAGGAAAATTATACGCGGAAGATAAGAAAACTGAAATTATGTTCTTACAGGTTTTATGCAGCTGAGATTTCAATTGGGCTATTCTTTCTCCATAAAAGAGGAATTGTTTATAGGTGAGTACTAACTGACACAAGTAATTCCTATTAAAATCCTGGAGAGACTAATGTGTTTGGCTATTTACAGTCTTTTAAAAGATGTTTTTATAAAAAGTAGTCAATTTGCTGTTAATAACTAAACTTCATTGTTTTGTCGGTGATGTTCCTTTAACTAAGGGTGACTGCATATCTTAGCTATGTTGACATCTGCACTCTGCAGCATTCAATTGAAAACGCTTGAGTTCGAAACATTTGTTATATCTTATTGCATTGCATACATTCATGTGTCCTAAAGCGTGTGTTTATGTAAAGGGGTGTGTGTGTGTGTGTGCGAGAGAGAGTGAGTGTGTGTGTGTGCGCATGCCTGTATTTGTTATATATTGTCTACCACATTAGTGTAGTTGAGTTAGAATGCTCTAGGTGTACCTTGTGTGACCCTCTAATAATTCAGTACCCACACATTTCTGCAGAAATAAAATGTTGAACATAAGAACACTGCCAATTAGGAATTTAGCATTGTTAGCCTGCCATATATTTTATGAATGAAGATTTTAATATGCAAAGACAAATGTAAAAGACAGCAGAATCAAGAAGGGCATAGTACTTCAATGCATAATGGGATCCTGTGAATAGTAGAGACTGAAAGCTTTGACTCAAGGGCATCAGACAATATTGGTCAGACAGCAAAGCAAAAAACATTGGCCTAATGAGCAATTCTACCTTCTGATTTTAATTTGAGGAACAATTCAGTTTTCATTTTGTTGAATGCTGACCTTTAATTAAGTGATTACTTGTTCATTACTAGTTTAGAAGCTTGACTTAGAGTAGTGATCCTCAAACTTTTTCATAGTGTAGCCAACTCCTTAATAGAGAGTATCCCATGCACACCTCTCCTCCCATTTGTGGTCACATAACATTCCTTTGACACCACAGCATTTATGTCTTGTTAATCTGTAATGAGACTTTTTGGCCTTGTGAAAAAACTTCATCTTACTATCCATTTTTACTATTCCTGTCAAGCCCCCCTTGGCCTCTCCTCCTCTTCTTCCCCGAGACATACTGCTTGGCTGTATTGTTTCATTGCTGAAGTATCATCTTCCACCCAAAGTGCTTCACAAACTGTATACTACATGATGAAATGCAGCCACTTCTGTGGAGCAGCATACTCAAGGGGGATGATATGGCTGATGAACTCTTGAACAAACCCCTACATTTATGAAAGATGCCATGGGATCTTTAATATCCAACAGAAGACACAGAAAAAACTCCCTGTTTTTAAGGCATCATCTGAGATTCCCCTCTGTCCACTGTGTGTGTGTGTATATATATAAAAAACACATAGTATTCAGTAATGCAACTGATGTAAGATGACGTTTTTGGTGCCCTAGTTGGCATAACTATTAATATTAAATTACGGTGATTCTTCATAGAGATCTGAAATTAGATAATGTGATGTTGGATTCAGAAGGACACATAAAGATTGCAGATTTTGGGATGTGCAAAGAACATATGGCAGATGGCGTAACAACTAGGACATTCTGCGGCACTCCAGACTACATTGCACCAGAGGTAAACATTTAACATTGGAAGTAGCATACGACTTTGTGAACATTTCACCCAGTGAAATATATGACAGCTACAAAACGGCTGTTTTATGCCTAGGACTGTCCTGGCTTCTGCGGGGAGATGTGATACTTTTGTGAATGAATAAAAAAGACCCTTAATAAGATTTTATTTAGGGAATATCTATCTCATGAGAAACTTGAAGCATGGTGTGTTTATCAGATTGAAATTCAAATTTGTGCTCATAATAACAAACTGCTAAGCAAGCCATCATACCAGCTTGAACTGTCAGTCCAGTTTCATTAATGTTGTAGCATGCATGCATATAAAAAGACTTGTGCATTTAATTTTAAAGTCCTACAATGCTGACAGATGTTAATGAGGTTGTTATTGGGAGCAAATGTAGCTTCATTAACGCATCTCACCATGGGTTCTCACAGTTGCTATAAAATATATTAACAAGCATTTGCACTATTTTCAGGAACTCACGAGTCTCTTGATTTTCAACAAGAGATTAATGAATTCCTGCAGTGGTTCACCAATTTTCCTGCAAAGCTTCTGCACTGTATTCTGGATAATGTCTGTCTTATCACCTGATACAAAATTGGGCAACCACCTTTGGATTTGAGAAAGCTCCTCCTATTAAACCGCAAATTCAGAACTCTGATGCAGTTGACGTAACAAATCTAAAGTTTTCCCCCAAATTTCCCATTACTATTGTCAGAGTTACCCAAAAACAACATCTCTCTGACTTATTCAATGCAAATTGTAGTCAGATGTTTATAGTCAGGGTTTATAATGAGAAAAGTTTACTTTACCCATATCCACCCAAAAATCTTAGTTAAGTTATTACAGGCAGGGTAGCTCAAGTGCATCAACACAATTACTAAAAAATCAAGTTTCAGAGTAGCAGCCGTGTTAGTCTGTATTCGCAAAAAGAAAAGGAGGACTTGTGACACCTTAGAGACTAACAAATGTATTTGAGCGTAAGCTTTCGTGAGCTACAGCTCACTTCATCGGATACATAAAGTATTTTATTTTATATACCATCTCCTCACTGTACTTTCCACTTTATGCATCCGATGAGGTGAGCTGTAGCTCACGAAAGCTTATGCTCAAATAAATTTGTTAGTCTCTAAGGTGCCACAAGTACTCCTTTTCTTTTAAAACATCAAGGAAATTTCTGGCAATATGAACATCCAGAACTACAATTTATAAGTCTTATCAATTAAACATTCTAATACCCACATATACTCAGCCTGCTTGGCACAAAAACATTACCTTCTCACCTTGAGCATGCAGCTACTCGGCATACTCACAACCAAGTACTGAAACCCCAGCCTTAATTCCAGCCTGTGCAAAATGAAGATGTGATATCAGATGGGAGAGAGAGAGAGAGAGTTGTACATTCAATAGTTAACTTAGGTATAAGACCAAATGAGAAATAAGGGACTGTAGTCATTAAGTGATTGGAAGATCTAAGTATTAGGATCTGCTGTTTATGTGTATTGAGCATGGACCCTAAATTCAAGAGCACTGATTTAAATCCCGTTTTGCCTGCAAATCTCAACACAACCATAACTCTGGAGCCACAATCCACATCTCCGTAATTAGATCTATGGTTCTGTGTAAAGGCATTTTTTCATGTAAAGGAATTTCTTCCTGATCCAAAAGGCAGCCTATTTTACTCAACACTAGTTAAAATGCGTCTCTGATTGGAGCATTTCCAGCTATAATTTAATATTTGTTAAAGCACAGACGATTTATATGTGGGGAAAAATATTCATTAATGTATAATGTGAATTTTGTCACTTTACTGAAATTGGAAGCAAGACATGTTTTTTTCTTCTCATAGTTAATAGTCTGTACCTGTGTGAAATGTTAACAAACCTTGTGTTTTCATGAATTGCTGTTACTTGCAGCAGGAGATCAGAATAACCCAGGTCAGCATTTCACCTTTTCCCATCAAAATGCAAATGAAGCCAATATAGCAAAGTACACAAAGAAGATAGTGCCATATCTATGGGTGATAGTCTTGTGCCAGCTATAGCCAGAGAAAACATGGTCTGTTGAATGGTATGGTTGAAATGGTGCATTTTCACTTTAATTCATATGAAAAAATTATCCTTTTACCACAACATTCTGTAACTGGAGGAAAATAGTATTTGTTTATATTCGATTTCAGAGCATGCGTGTGTCTTTCAGCCAACTGGTTTTCCTTCATTTCTGAGGACACAACACTAGAGGAAGAATTGTTATCTAAAACTATGCAATGAGCCTCAAAGCAAGGCCGTGGTGTTGGTGCACCAGCGGCCTAACCGGGTCAAGTTTTTTATAGGCATCACAGCAGAGAAGAGTTTTATGGAGGGATTTGAAGATGCATAATGAGTTAAACTGTAAGGTCTTTGGGGGCTGGGACTGTCTTTTTCTATATTTGTAGAGCGCCTTGAACAATGGGATCCTTGTCTATAACTAAGACTATGTCTACGCTACCGTGGTAAGTCGGCCTATGCTATGCAACTCCAGCTACGTGAATAAAGTAACTGGAGTCAACGTACCTTAGGTCAAGTTACCGCGGGGGTCTATGCCGCGGTAAGTTGACGGAAGAGGGTAGAGTACTGCAGTTGACTAGAGAGCGATCTGCAGTTGATTTGGCAGGTCTTTACTAGACCCTCTAAATCAACCACCGGTGGATCGATCTCAGAGCGTTGATCCCGGCTATAGTTTAGACCAGTGGTAAGCTACCTTGGCACTAGGGAAATATAAATAATGCATAAGAATACCAAGGCACATACTATCTCATTCCCTTTTGCTGGCAAAGGAATTTCAGCATGTTTGTTCTAAGGCCTCCCAGTGGGCTAGATTTTACAGTAGATTATAACTTAAATGTATTAGATACATCCAAAGTGTCTTTATATATTCAGCAATAGAACCTAATTGAATTCAAAGCAAAATTATAAATATGAAGATGAATTCTCATCGGAGGTTTTTGATTTTAAATTTTCCCATTTCCAGTCAGCCAAAGAGGGAAACAGTGGTTTCAGCAGAGGAGGGGACCAATCATCCAACCATCTTGGGAGTGGCTTCTGTGAAAAGTTTCTAGAAGGATGAGATGCAAATCACCATCACCACTCTTCTCACTCTCTCCTCCCTCCACCCCCTCCCTCATTTAGCAATATGGAAAGGGCATGGTACTCATGATCCCCTGATACCTATTCATGACCCCACTCTTTTTGTGGGAGGTGATTCCCAGGTCGACAATGAATGCAGTACTGTAAAATAATGGGTTTCCTTTATTTGTCTTAGGAAATTTTGCATAATATTTTTAGCTCATGCATAGTGCACATTGGACAAAGGGGGTATTTTTACACATACAAGTTCAAGATTTGAGAACTGTGCAAAGGTTAAAATAATTGTATGCTTGGTGCAACCAATTCTGTCGGGCAGGAGTAAACTGATTATCCTGTATGGAATTTTCATTATTGGGCTGAGCTGAAATATAAATATTTATGGCTGTATTTCTAATAACCTTGAAATTGATTAATGGTGCAGTATCTCCTTGGCTGGTCACCAGAGACTGAGGGAGATGCATGTCAAAACCAGTATTAATAAAAAAGGGATTCTAATAGCTTGTACCACAAACTTCTCTCTTGGGCACAAAACAAAATCCCAAGAGTTAGAATCCTTGCAGTGACTGAAAGGTTGATTCTGAGAGAACCCCAAAACAATGTTTTTTTTAAATGTTAAAAAAACAACAACAACATGTTCCTGCCAGGAGTATAGCAGGTTGATAACTATTTTGAATGCTGGAAAAGTGGACTTTGACTGTTGCTTGTGGCAGGGATACATATTCCTTTTAAAAGCTGAATTTATTATTATAGCAGTAGTAGTCATTTTATTGGATCATTTGTATTTATATTTCACTTTGTACCCAAAAGGATCCCAGAATTCACACGCTGTGTAGGGATCTTTTCACCTACCACTGAAAAGCAGCCAGTTCTGAGACTGAATGTGACAATGGACTCACAGTACACAAACCATTTTAATGACAAGAATTTAGTGAAGGAGGGAATTACTTGAAATAGTGAACTAATTAATTTTAAGTGTTCTTGATTCTACAGTGAAGCAGGAAACTAGCCCATGCACAAAATAGCAGCATTTCAGTACTACCCTGTGCCATTTGCAGTTTACAGCAGTCCATTCACACTGACCAGATTACATCCAGTGATGAAGAGCTTCAGCCCTTTAGAGGAATTATGCTTTCCTTTAGGACTTTTCTCTCTCAAGGGTAAGGACCTGTCCTTTTATTGTGTGTGTGCACAGTGTCCAGGACAATGGGGTACAATTACTAATTGGGTTCTTTAGGGCACCACCACACCCAAATAATAATGATGAGTTCTGTCTATGCTCTCAGCTTTTTATAAAATCCTATTAGATTTGCAAATACGTTAGTGTTATTAATTATCAGAGTTACAATAAAGGGTGATGGGGAAACAATGGGTAGGAACCTACCGCTCTCCCATCCCTCCCTCCCCCATTGAGAAAGTGTTTTGAATCTGCTTCTCTTCTCTCTCTCCAAACTCCATGAGCCACATCTTGGTGAGGAAACAGATTGGCAAGATTTGTTTACTGTTGGATTCAACAGATTAGTCTCCATCTCTGAACATGAGGTCAGAGCTTGCCAAATTTCTGTTTTATCCTTTATTAAGAATTACCACTTTCTGCCAGGGCTGCCTCGTTACTCAGGGAGGAATTGACACCTGCCACATTTAGTAGCTTTTGCTGTTTTAAAAATATATATATTTTTCTCTTGAAGTGAGTATTGACAGTTTGACTTTTATATGACTGGAAAGCCAAAAAACTGAGAATCTTCCCTACATATTTTGCACAACCTGAACCAAAATAACTGCACTCCTTCCCTGCCCCCACCAAATTATTGCCCTTCTTTCAAGTCCAGATTTTTTCCCATTACATTCCCAATTAGTGCTTTGAATAGCTCCAATTTATGTGTGAACCAAGCTGCCAGTTTCACTGTGAGTGATGGACAGGTTAATAAATTAACATGGCAGGTTACTCTTTTGCATTTCAATTTTACCATATCTATAAACCCATATTAGAATTTAGTTAGTAATTCACATGGGACATACTTAATTAGGGTTTTGTTGTTGTTGTTTTAAAATCTTTTGAGGGGTCCAAAAGGTGCAACAAATGCATCATTCCACCTGCTCTGCGTTGTCATGGCATCACCTAGGTTTATTTCCCCAATTTGAGGGGAAAACATCACCCTTTTATTTTCACTGTGCCAATAATTCCTGGTGGCTTTGAGCTGTGGTATATACTAGAAAATTCCACATGTTCAAGAATTGAGTTCTAATATTAAACGTGAAACCATATTTCTCAGGATGAAACCAGTTGGGACACCACATTCCAAGGTTCAATGAAAGAGTTTAATAAGCACGTTGAGTGGGATTTTCAAAGAGCAACTAAGTCCCTTTCAATGGAATTTGTCTTCCTTAGGTGCCTTTATAAATCCCACCCTTTGATCCTACCTGCATCTTATTGACTCTTTCAGCATTCCTGGAGGGAGGAGATACTGCATAGTTTCTTCAGTGTCTTAGACACAAATTTACAGGGTAAATGAATAGTCAGCATCAGCAGACAAGTGTTTCTTGACCTTTTCCATACCAAAACCCCATGTTAAAATAGCAAAAATGTTCTGTTCTTTCCCACCCCAGGCCATCTGGCCATGGAGAAAGGGAAGATTGTTACTTCCGCAGACCTATTTGGTACCCCCAGGTAGAGAACCCATTGGATAGACATTTTAGAAGGATTTTGCCCCCTCTGTTACATGGATTTAATATTTTGTCTCTAATTTTCTCTAATTTCAGTTTACAAAATATCTCTAATTAGGCTCCTTGCAAGGAAACATACTAATTGTAAAAAATATTCTGTCCTTGCATTTTAACGACCTTTTAAAAATACAGCCATTACTCCGTGGCTGAAAACACTCTCTGATAGGGTTGGAATTTTTCCAGTACAGTGAGGTATTTTTTAACATGTTTTATGTATAAAGGCCAGTCCTTTCTTCTGGTTGAAATTTTGAAAGTGTTTGTTCTTTGAAGTAGCAACACTGATTTTGAATAGACCCCCTGAGAACTTACTGCTGAGTGGAAAATACATTGAGAGTAATCAAGTCTATCAACCGCTATAGCAGGAAGTAGGTGGCCCCAAGTGTATGTTATAAGGCCCAGTATATGTGATAATTGCAAAAGAATTGTAAAATTAAATCTGCATTTTTGTAGCCCCTTTCATCTAAGAATCTCAAAGCATTGTTCCAGCAGTAAATTCATTATGCCTAGCTATAGAGAAGGAGGTAGGTACAGAAAACAGAAATGACATCTGGTAAATTATGCAAAGTCAGGGAATAGAATCCAGGAGTCTCGATTCCCAATCCCCTGCTCTGACCAGTAGACGTTTTCCAAACTTAAATACAATGATTTACATGTTCCCCCACAATTTAAAAGGAGCTCTTTAAAATTCTTCTCCATTTTTTTCTAGATTGTTAGTTTAATTAGAGGTTCATATTAATAGCAGTTACCACTGAATAAAAAAGAAAAAATACTCTAAAAATTAGTTTTCTACAGTAAAGTTAAGATACAAACACTGTAATTTAGATGTCCTTAGCTACTCATTTCAGCTGCTAACTCATGAGTAATGTATTTCAGAGTGACTTATTTTGAGTTTCTTTGCTAAGAGACAGATTGCTAACTTCCAGATCATGTCCTGTTATTACCCTAGTGAAGACAATTATTTGCAGATAGGTTCTGAAGTCTTTGGGTAGTGGCTGAGTAGCGCTGTTTTGTTGAACTGATAATTAAGTGTTTTCCTTACTGATTGCTGGTTTAATTCCTTTACGAGACTGCTGAGAACCTAGGGTGTGTAATCTGCACTAGTCTCAGCAATTTGTTTCACAGAGAATGAAAAACACGTGGTAGCAGGAAAAGGAGACTAAATTAAGGAATATTTAATAGTGAAAGGACAGTATCTCATTGTCTGATTATTCCTCTGAAATAGACAAATTATGGTTTCAGGGTCAACTAGACTTGCCCCCAAACTAAATAGGAGAGACCTGTATTAGAGGAGAAATATCCAAGAATGTTTCAGAACATTCCCTTTACTGGAGAAAAATGGAATGGGTAATCTCTTCAGAATTACTAGAAATCATTAATAGTTAAGATACAAACAAATGATGTTAAACTGAAATGGCATTTAGATCTGAGACTGTAACCGACTGTATGCTGCAATGCACCTTTAAAATAAATTAGCACTGCCCTTTGAAGGAGTGTGTGTTGAGTTTGTACATCCACCAGACTTTCGTAATGTCAGCACTCAATATGCACTTATGTCTAAAGTCTGAATTGAACCCTGGGTGAAAAATACTTGGAAATTGTCATTAGTCTGAATGGCAGAAACCTCTTTCCTGTTGGCATAACTGGTTTCCTGATTTCAGATGAAGAGCCCGAGACTTGTGTAGCACGGTGAAACAAAGCTGAGATTTTCAGGGGTCTTGATCACATTTTTGGGATTTTTGCCTCTTTTTAGAGTGGGTCAAAATGTAAATATTACAGAGTAATGAAATTAAACTCTGAATTGTTGATACCCTCCGAATGAAGTGAAAATGATTATTTGATTATTTAACATGAATGGCTTGATGAAATCATTCTGGTTTCTTGTGTACCATTACTCTACCTGCTTCGTTATTTTCAAAAGCACATCCTGAATCTTTGAAGGGCCAGATTTACAAAGGTATCTAGATGTTTAAAGAAGCAAAAGGCACCTAGTCAGATTTTCAAAGGCGCTTTAATGGGAGTTAGACATCTAACCTGCTTTAGCTGCTTTGGTAAATCCTTCTAGGTGCCAATTGGCATTTTTATGTGCCTACATACCTTTGTAAATCTGGCCCTACAATTCTAACACGAGGATCTGGATTCTGTGCTGTAAAGTGCATAAATCCGAGTGGGATTTTGACCTCAATAAGGATGACAGGATTGGGTTCTCTATGCATTTCAGTGGCATGTATTTATCTCCATAAGTCATTTATTTGATTCACCGCTGACCTTATTGAACACAGGTATTTTTATTTTCATTATTTCACAGATTATTGCTTATCAGCCCTACGGAAAATCAGTAGATTGGTGGGCCTACGGCGTGCTGTTATATGAGATGCTAGCTGGCCAGGTAGGAATTATATTGCAGCTGTTCTTCAAAATCTAATGAGAGGAACTTTACAAGGCAGTGCATAATAAACGGAAGAAGTATTATGCAACTGTGAGAGAGCCCCTGGAAACATAATAGCAGAGTTTTTAGGTACTCTTCATGGACGGTAAGGCTCAGAATCATCACAGTGTTTTTGTATTGTGTGCCTGGGGGCAAAGCAGAGGGCTTGCTGCTCAAACCACAGTTAATTACAGAGCCCTTTCCCTGCACGTGTAGTGTGATTCTGGTCACCAAATTACACAACTGAAAAAGCAAGTTCTGTACTGCAAAGTGTAGTTGAAGGTAACAAACCAGCTCTAAAGAGCTCTGGTGTTCTCTCGATGTGGGGAAGATTTATGTAAGTGATTCTCCTGAGAGAGTGAGCTGGAACAACCATAGAATTTATTATATGTACAGTGTGTAGCCAGCCTCTCTTGTTCCTTCGCATGCCAAGTCCCAGTAGATTTCTTGACTTATCTTGTAACAGCTGAACACTGTGTGCTGCTCCTGTCTTCTTTTTCCTTTCAAATTCTTCCAAAGATCACTGTGCGTCTGGTCTGTGGCCATCTCCAATTACTTGCAGATTGTTCTGTTGCCTCAACATTTTTGTATTTTATGACAGAAAAAAGATGTGAGAGAAACTTAAGATATTTAACAGTACTGTTACATCTGATGTTCTATAGATGAGTTTCGGGTTTATCTACAGTTTTGGGTTTGCATGTAAAAACCCACCAAAATGACTAATAATCAGAAATAAATTGGAGAATTTGGAAATGTAGAATCCAGCTGCATCGGATAATGTTGGGAGATCCCAGCTTCTTGTTTTCTTATTCTTGCGGAAGTCTGATATGCTTGTGTATTTATTGAGTCTTAAGTCTTTTATATAGCATTATCTTATTAGGATTTTCTGCATTTACAGTAAGTGCTAAGTAATTCCTCCAGGGCTTCTTGGAAGATGTAGATTTGTTTGCAGATAAATGCATCAACATTTGTTTTAATTATGATAGCTGCCTTGAATATGTCTTCAAAAAAACATACGATTAGGCCCAGCAATCTGTAAACATTTATTTGTTTGCATGAGCTCTTGTCTCTGTGTACATTATAACTAACTGGTGCTTTCTTTTCTGGAGTGTTCTTTCTGGGTGATATTCACCCCTGTGCAAAGGGCCACTTGAAGGCCTATGCGACACTTAAGTCCCACTTAAACTCTTAGTTCAGGGTTTATGTGGGACTTAAGCAGTTCCCATGGATCTTGTGCTGGTTTTCTTCATCCTCACACCGTCTTTTAACCACAAATGTAGCCCATACTTGTGACACTGTCTTCCCCTCACAGAAACACTATTTACCCATAAATCAGATGGGAGCATCATTGGAATTACATGACACTTTAGATCAAAGTCATTGAAAGTAATGGCCTAAATCATGTACTGATTAGATTGTTTTAGGATGGCTACAGCAAGGTAACTTTAAAAAGATCTCATTAAAGATAAACAAACCCTTAGATAACCAGCATTGTTGAGTACATTGTAAATGTAAAACTCCTCAATAATGTATCTGCTTTTCAGTAAATAAATAGCATTTATAGGGAATTAAAATTAACACCACATGATTTTACCTCGTTTATTTTCCTTGCGCAGCCTCCATTTGATGGGGAGGATGAAGATGAACTCTTCCAGTCCATAATGGAGCATAATGTGTCCTATCCTAAATCGTTGTCCAAAGAAGCTGTTTCTATCTGCAAAGGGGTAAGCAAGTTGCTTCTGTATCATGGGGTCCTTTTTCAACAGTGTGTGTTAAATAACCAAAGTTTGTGGAGTTTGACTGAGTTTATACCACTGGGCTTTTCCAAATATAAACAGTGTCCAGCCCGGATTTTAGGCAGATAACATGGATGATAACTTTCATCCTCACTTGGCCTCTGCCAAAGGTCAGGGCTGCAAGAGTGTGAACTCTTGTTTATTTTGTGGTAGGGAAAGATTTCAGAATCAGTTACAGCCACATACAGAGCAGAAGTTACAAATGGGGTGGTTGTATGAGCCTTTCCCGCCTCTTAAATTGTCTGCACTGTGAGTCAGATCAGGCAAGGTGCCAAGCTGTCTCACCTCTCATAGGTTCCAAATGGGAGCTGACCCTACGCAGCACTTTGCAGGAGGCACACTACAGCACTGGCCCTGTGTGTTTGACCTGATAGGAAGAACTGAAGGAATTAACAGGAGGGACAAGGTGGGTGAGGTAGTGTCTTTTATTGGACCAATTTACACAGAGCTGTGCAGCTCAAAAGCTTTCTCTTTCACCAACAGAAGTTGGTCCAATAAAACCTATTACCTCACCCACCTTATCGGTCTAATATCCTGGGCCAACACAGCTACAGCATCACTGCAAACAGTCAATTAAAAGGAGTCATTTTAGAATTTAGATAGAAATTAGCCTGAATGTAAACCTCCAGCCTAAACACCAGTGAGTGGTGAGGAAATTCTGATCCAGGTCCAAGCTTTGTGGCTTAAGGTCATCTCTGATTGTAGGCTATTTTAATGGGGGGTTTTGGGAGCGCATTAATGTGACTGCGGAGAATTAGCTAAGTAAAGTTTGTGTTGACGTTTTTCTGACTCAGTATCATTCCCTGGAGCACCTCATTTCTGTAGCTCTTCCCAAATGTGAATTTCAGATGTCTATTACTTCTTCACCTGGATGAAAATTTTAGTGCGTTTAAATAGACAATGAATTTGGCATCTGCTACCCCAGTTCAGAGTGTCCTTTGGAACTGCATATGTAGTACGGTCGCTGACTCCGTTTTTTTCTTTAAAGATAAAATCATTGAGAAAATGAAAAGAGATTTGATTTATCACAATATATGGAAGGCCATTGCAACATAGCATAGGAATGGAATAAATGTCTATATCTCAGGATTGAAATTACATAATCCTCCTTCTGCCACAGGTTCAAATCCTATTGGGATCAAGTTAGATCTCCCTTATAAAAAATAAACATGATGTTCTTTTATGCTATTCACCCAGATTGTTATCTCAAGATGCAGTGTTTGCCATTCATTATTGTAGAATACTCTAGTTGCTGTACATGAGGGTCCATTCTTCATATTCAGAGAAATTAAATTCTGTACAAGTACAGTACTGGTGGGGTATTTTGCCTGAGGATCCTGTATCCTCTGGGGAAATAGGAAAAATCCCATGTCATTTTTCCTAAAATGAAAAGTTTGTCCTAGTGTTTTAGCCAGACTTTGCTCTTTTCCCCCTTACTCTTTGCATTGCCCTTTATGTGAATTGTGACACTCCCCGTCCCAGAAGTGGCTACATTTCAGAGTATCTTTTCTGAAGCCCTTTGCAGTCCTCAAGGTAAAGGATGCTACACAAGTGACACAAAGCTAATCATGTTCATAAGGGAACTGTCCAGATAAATATCACTGTAGCCTAAAGTCTGATCTCCTTTCTTACATTACAGACAACACTTCACATTATTAAAATGAAAGAATTTTAAAAGCTGCTTTTTCTTTTCACTGTTTAATCTCCTTGCTTACATTTGGTATTTTTCTCGGTATTTCTTATGCTGATTTTCCTGTTCTCCTATATTAACAAGAGTGCCACAATGTTTGGGTTGTAAGCATTAAGGGAAATGTTGTTTACATTTTAATTTTAAAAATAATGTTCATTGCAACTGTGGGGGGGGGGGAGGAGGAGGTTTAGCTAACACAATTAAAAATTCTGGCTCTGATCTGGCCTGATATCCCTTTTCCAACCATCCTGTTTTACATAATAAATAAAATGCAGTATTGTTTAAGAGTTTCATCTGAATTGAGATTGAAGATTACTCAGCTGTGATGTGAAGCTAGGCAGCCAAAGCCCTTAGTTCTATGAGAGCCAGCCTTGAACCTTTTGCTAGAATGATTCACCTGGACTGTAGGATCACTGTATAGCTTGGATTTAGCATCTCTCAGTACCCATTGTCTGCTAACACTGAAGTGTGTTTTATAGTCAAACTGCTTTAATGGCATTCCCAAGTATACTAAGATATTGTCACAAATGTTCCACAAAAGTCACACACAGCTGCATTTATGCTCACACAGCTCTCTAGATTTTTCATTATTAGCAGATTGAGTAGACCCCTCCCATGCAAAAAGTCTGATACTGCTGATATATTTAAAAGTAGAATTTGCATCCAACAAAGTACAGTGCGATCACCTCATAATTTTTGTAGTTAGAGGGTCCTATCAGTTTATAATGGACAAAAACGGCTTTCCTAAATCTCAGCTATTGGAATTCCCTCTGTCTATAACGGACAGATATTTTCCTCACAAAAGATACTTTCTGAGCATCTAGTACTCTGAAGAAGGGCAAGTTCAGAGCAGTGTGGGAAAGGTGTCAAGCACAGAAGTGACTCTGAGGAGTTAGATTTAATTTCCTGCTAACATCCTTCAAATCCATATGAACTTCCTGAATAGACCATCATTCAAGGTGAATACTACTTTGCTATGTCTGTGGAACATTTTTGTGATTGAAATGACTCAAGGAGACATGTTATGTCCTTTCATACCCTTTTAAAATCCCTTTCTCGGACACGTGTAGTCTATGAGAATCCAGCAACAGAGCTTCCTATGTGACACCCAGAGAGTAGAATTCAAAGCAGTACCTCCAAGTGCAGATAGTGCTGCTACCGTACTTATTTTTGTGATAGGAAATGTTATTTGTGTGGTGCTGTACTTTTCAACAACATACAATACTTAGCCTCAACTGGCCAAAACCAAGGAATCCTGCTTGCTCTTCAGCTTGTAACTTTTGGTTGGCAACTGTACAACCAATTCACAAGTCTTCATTTTTGGCAGGGGTTATTATTTTAGAACAGAATGTAATTCTAATACAACCATAAGCAACACTTTCTGATGTCACTAGCTGTCAAATTGCACATTTGAGGAAAGTTAACAGAAATGGTGAGCAGCTGTTTTAAGCTTGAAGAACAAGGTGTTTCAAACCTAATGTACGTTCTGTTTCCTTAAATCCCTTTTGGCTCCCTGTTTTGTATCATTGCTGTTAACACAAAGTATGATAAAATGATCATCTATGTACATGGACTAGTTTAATCAGGTGAACAAAGATATCTGATCATCTTTTTCAAAAGTAGGTGCCAAGATATCGACTCCTAAATCCATATTTACTAGCAAAATTTTCCCAAAAAGGAGACTACCTTTAAAACCCAACATTCATATTGACTCACCTAAATAAGGGGCTTGATTGACATAAAAGGGACCGCTGGATGTACAAGATTTTTTTAAAATCAAGCTACTTGTTTAGCTGCCTAATATATAAACTTAAGAGTCTGACTTTTAGCTCTATTTTTTAATATGCTGGCTATACATACATTGCTATTAAAGTGATTAACGTATGCAATTCAGTAATTTAAGAGAGTTTTATTGCAGTAGTTGTCGCAACTATTCCACTCATTATATTTCCCATTCTGTAGATAGGGAATATGGCAAATACTACAGTAACATCAAATAAGGAAATGCAGTAAATGCTCATTTATTAATGGCACCCACTGTACTAGAATAAAGAGATTTCAGAAGTCCCATAATATTGGTTGAGGGCTGCATCCCTTAGTTGCCAGTGCTCATACTCATTGGCTGCTCATTTCCTTGCTAATTAGGGTACACAATACTGTTTCAAAGTGTGCATTATTGCTCCTTTTTGTGAGTGTGGTTTTCCTGTGCAGCTGGTATTTAATATTGATCAAGTTGGTATTAAGGGTGGAGGAGGAGAAGCACAGATTAGTTACTGTCAGGAGGCTGCCAAAAAATGACAGATGCGGTAATGGGGTGTCCAGAACACACACAGAAAAATTATCAGGAACTTGTACTTTAAATATTTCAGTGTAATGGAATTTATCAAGTTTAATTGATTGCTGAAGCCGAATAGAGCCTGTTCTGGATATGTACAAGACTACATTGTAATAACAACAGGCTGAATTCAGACATGATGAATGCAGATGTAATTCCATTGTGCCTGCCTATACCATGCCTAAATTTGTCCCTGTATCGGTAAACTTTGTGTAACGAAAGAGGAGAGCAGGGTTTAAAGTGTGGCCTTTAATTTCAGTGCCTACAGGCAATCTCTAGCTTTGAAATAAAGAAATTAACACTTTAAAAATAAAGTATAGCTTTTCACAAGGATTTTATTGCTGAGCTACATCTTGACATGAACAATAACAGTTCCACCTGTGGACAGTCTGTTACTCTTTCATTCCAAAAGTCACTTTAATCATTTGATGTTTTATTAATTTGTAGTTAATGACAAAACACCCTGCAAAAAGGCTTGGCTGTGGGCCTGAGGGAGAGCAAGATGTCAGGGAGCATGCATTCTTCAGGAGAATCGACTGGGAGAAACTGGAGAACAGAGAGATTCAGCCACCATTCAAGCCTAAAGTGGTGAGTGAGACACGGGATGGCTCCCTATTAAAATGCGCTGTTTGCGGTCAAGCCTCTCTGTGGTATGAGGCTAATGCTAACTTGACAGCATTGCAAGACGGCTGTATCCCAAAAGGTGGGACGTTTCTTAAATCAAGCCCTTTGATTATGTCAGACTGCAAGGCAGTGCCGCTAGGACTACTCCATGCTCTAGCCAGTGTAGCTAGGGCATCATCAAAAATACCACAGAATCATTGCTGAGTTCCTGATAGGAAGCCTCTGATACAGCTGTGCTACGTGAAAACACACGGTTGATTAAATGGAAGTCAATTTGCAGAGATTTTCTGTACAATAAAATCCCTACTTCCTTAATGCTTCCTATCTATGTTTGGCTGAAGTATTGTGACCTGTTCTTTTAGACTCAGGCCTTGTCGGTTATCCATGTATTTGCAGCTCAGAATTGCAGTACCATAATGTTAGCTACACCTGAACACCATTCGGAAACCTCATGCAGTGCACAATTCAGCGGCCTGCCTACTTTTGATGGGGTTTCCCCAGAGGGAGCGCCCAACACTTGTTCTCCGCGATCTGCACTGGCTTCAGTTGAAGGAGCTAGGTTTTAATCTGGAAAGCTCTAAATGGCATGGTGCCTATTTACCTGAGAAATTGCCCGTCTCTTTGTATGAGGGTCTGGCAACTGTTTCACTGAACACTTGAACGGATAGCCCATGGTATAACTGTACAGGGATATTTTCATTAAATAGCTTCAACTTTGGACTGTGCTTCCCATATTGGTTTGACAGAGTCCAAGTTGGTTGAATTTCCAGGTTTGCCACAAGGCTCTTCCCCACTCAGAATTTCTTTCAACTTGTAACATGATTGATAAACAAAGGCTTGTTCTTGATGCAAAGGAGAAAATAGGTTAAATCTGAGGAAGAAGGAGGCCAAAGCTACCAGAGACCCCTGGAAAATGTCTTACTGTAGCAGCTCTCCTCTATAACACTTGTTTTGTTTCTATTTAGTAGCATAACAAGATGAAAGGAATCTATGTAATCATCCTCCATGCAGATGGATGGGGAGTACATGACAGTATAGTATAATTGTTTTATCAGCATGAGTCTGGGTTGGCCACATTACTCAGGAGTGATGAAACCTTGAGTGACGATGGTCATCACAAAGCTTTATACGATACCATGCTATCATGTATTTCTGCACATGTTATGTGTTTTATAGAAAAACAATGTTAGAAATGCTTCGGAAAGTTTTTTTTTTTTTAATGTTATAGTAACTGTAGAGGCAAATTAGATTAAAACTCTTCTATAAATGAATGACCTGAATAGCTTGCCTTTGCTGTGAGATCTGATATTTGGGTACATTTCATGGCTGGAAGTAAATGCTGTGTGTTTCATTAGAATCAACCCTTTCCGATAATATAAAAATGCTCAATTCTTGCTCTCCAGGGTCAGAAGATATCAGACCACAAACCTGCCACTATATAGGACTGAATATTGTTGCTCATGGTCCTTGGACCAGTGTTCTGTATTTACCGGTCAGGGAGGTTGGATGGGAGATGGTACAGACTCTTCATTTATGGAAAAGAAGAGTACATTTCTCTAGCCAGTTGATGGCAGCTGTTTGAAGCTATTCAGAGGTTTGGAATGTTAGAGTAAATCTCACTAAAGATGGATCAGTGAACAGAGGGCAGGTACTACCCAAGGAGAGCATATGTTCTCAGGCGTGCTGGAACAATTTTTATAGTGGGGCTGCTGAGAGCCATTGAACCAAGGTGTAAATCCTGTATATAATGGAAACCACTTCAAGCCTGGGGTGCCGCAGCACCCTGTGCACTGCTATTTCCAGCACCTATGTGTAGTCTTCTCTTGTTGAGAGCCATATGCATACTTTAACCTCAACAGGAGGTTTGCTTGCATACCAAGAGAACTATATACTGGGCTAGTAAAAGTCAGGCTTATCATAAAAAGTGAATGTCACACACAAAGAATTGTGTAAATAAGTAAGGAAATGCACATGGTTCTATTAATGACCATTGGTGGTTCTTCAACCTGGCAGACAGCTGGGGAATTGCTCTTTTTCAGACACAAATTATGTACGTTTTTCATCATGCAGTGTTTGTATCAAAATTAAAGCTAAAAATAAACCGTATCTCCGTTAATATCTGTATTTGATCCTCCATGGAACTGAGTGTGCTGAACTCCCACTGAAGTTAAGGAAAATAATCTCAGCACCTCACAGGATCTAGGCCCACGTTTCCCATATGAAACTTTAATAAAGGGTGTAAAGTACTAAAAGCCCAAAATACAATCTAATTCAAATATGTTACATTTAATTGCAGAAATCTATATCACAGCTCCTATTTATATCATCATAGAGGATTAATCACCAGATGTGCTGTTTCTCAGCTGTTGATTATGACTTATTTTATTTATACAGGTTGCTGTTGAAACATACCAAGATAAATCTAGTATTAATGTGGCTGCCTTACTTTCTTAGAGAATCATTTTAAATCCAAATCTTCTGTCCCTTGTTGTTGGTTTACCAACATATCCTCCTATCTAATTCTATTTATGTTGATTTTCAGATTAAAACATCTTCATAAGAGCCTACAGGTATTTGTAAAGCTGGATTTAATTATGTCATTTTGCAGAAAATCTTACTAGGTGTAAGTGGCTCTTGTAACTGAAATAGGGAATCAGTTCCTTGAGGCCCAGTCCTGCAACTTTTACATGCACAAGTAGTTCTTTCTTATATGCGTAGTCCTGTAAGGGACTAACCAGAAGTAAGTGGGTTTGCAGGATGGGACATTTTTTGCTGATAATAGAGGTTCCTGTTGTTCTTTCCTATCATGTTACATTTTTACACTGGTGTAACTAAGAGGAAAATTTGGCCCTGCTTTTATATAACTATATTGAAATATTAAATTGATTTTTATAAAATGCCATAAAACTTTTTGTTTTGACGAACACGTTATAATTAATTATATAAGTAAACTAAAATTGAAGCTGCTAAAGAACAAACTAGACAGTTTTCTCTGGCTACCTGAGATTGAGGTATAATTATGCCTTTCTACGTCTCCTGGAAGTATGTTTTTAATTAATAAGGTACTTCTTGAGTCTCTTCATTTATCAAGGGAAGTCATCAGGGTAACATTTTCAAAAGCATCTAAATCCCATTTTTCAAATTGACGTATGCACTTAAGAATCTATGTATCGTTGACTTTCAGTTCGACTTAGGCCTCTAAGTACCTGAGGCACTTTTGAAAATTTCATTCAATGTCACTTACTACTGAATGTCAGTCATATCTTATATGCTCTGAACAGTAATAAAATCATAATTCATTTTAGATTTGCAGTGTGGAAATACTTGTATGACCATTTTTACACTAGACAATGAGTGAGGTTCATATAAATAGACTAAAGTCTGAGCCATTGTGTTGCTTACAGTGCATGCTATTATAGTGCATATTATTGAAAATAATATGCTAGGGAATCTATTTTGCTTTTTTGTGCAGGCAATATCCAAATATTTAATACATATGTTATGCCGGCAATATCCTTATTAATTACATGTTCATAGAAGTTTTACATGTGCTTCAAGAGGAGAAACAGACTCTTTAGTTAAAAGTGATGTTTGGCCTTTGATTGTATGGTTGCCTGACTAAGTCCTGATGCATAAACTACATCTTCTGTACGTAAATTATACAAGCCAAACAGCAATCTGTTAATGAGCACATCACAGAATTAGGTAGAAAAAACTATTAAAAGAAAACTGCATCCATTTTGCTTATCCTTGCAGTCTGAAAGTTCACAGTGTTAGACATGCTCCTCATTACGAATAAAGTGTAAACTGAATTTTTAAATAATCTGTTTAATTACCAATTGGCATTTCTCAGGCTACTGTTGCTGATTGATATCTTGCTAAAAGGGATATTTTACTGGCAGCTTCCAGTGTAGGAAGTGGATCTTTTCCATCCTGCTTTAGTACTGGGCAAACATCCATAATAACAATATCAGTGTTTAAAGTTTTTTTTTTTAATATTACACATTGAGCTTTTTATGATGGATAAACCCATATTAAATCAGGATGAGTGCTTTTGTGATAGTCTCTGCCACTGATTTCCTACACTCTGTGTCACCAGTTCCAATGCTGTATGTCATTTATCTGCAAAAGGAATGCAGCCAGAAAAAATAACATCCAAAACCTCAAGTTTTAAAAAGGATCTGACATACAGGAGAGCTGGCAAGAAGCTGAAGGTTATGACAGGTGCACGTATTCATTGGCTACTGGTACACAGTGCTTATCTGAATTCCTTCAAACCTCATTGGTCTCAAAATCAAGCTAGAACTTCTATAAGAATGCCTTTCACCCTTTGGCTACTTCGAGACAGATAAAACAAGTGACACACACACACACATTGCAGAGCAACTTCTTAACCAATTACACTTTACTCTTTGGTCTAGTCTACACCACCGCTTAGGTCGATGTAAGTTACATCACTCAGTAGTGTGAAAAAAATCACCCCCCGAGTGACATAACTTACATCGACTTAATGTGGTGTCTACACCGCGCTATGTCAACAGGAGATGCTCTCCCACCAACTTAGCTTCTGCCTCTCAGGGAGATGGAGTTCTGGAGTCAATGAGAGAGCGCTCTCCCATCGACTTATCGAATCTTCACCAGACCCACTAAATTGACGCCGCTGCATCGATCAGCAGCACTGAATTAGCTGGCCAGTGCGGACAAACCCATAGACAAACACAAGAAAGACAGAGGTCTGTGGAAAAATAACAAAGCCCACACAAACATCCCTGCCTCATTTTCCTCACCCCTTCAGAGCCCTCTGGGTCTTAGTCAGTGTCCGTCTAGCGGGTCTAGGATTCTTCCTTTCCTCCTGGGCAGCCTTATCTTCTTGTTGTGGTCTCCTTCCCCCTTGCTGAAGAAAGTCCTTTTACAAAGCTTCAGCCCCCTCTCTCAGGTGACACCTCCAAGTGGCTTCATGTCCCTTGTCAGGTGATTCATTGCTTAGTTAAATTCCACCTGGGACACTGGTTGTTCTCGGCTGCAGCCAGCTCATTGTTCTAAAGGTGATTCCATTTGAATGGAAGATCGATCATGTTAATGACTCTTGCTTGCTCTCCATCGTTAGTCTGCTGCTAGGAGCACAGAGAGTCTCTGCTAATGACCCTGATAGCCAAGTCCAAGTTGGAAGTTAAAAGGCAACAAGGAAGCACAGACAGTTTATAATCAAAATAGCATTTACAAAACAAAATGGGGTTTATGGCTAGATACAGACATACACAAATCTGTCATACTCTGCAAAAAAAAAAAAAAAAATGAATAGGGAAGAAACACTGCCTTTTTTTTCCTTATTTTTTAAGTGAGTTTAGTTGCTTGTGAAAGATGCCAGACTCTTGGATAGTCTCAGGGATTGATTTCCTCAGTTACCCATCGAACGAATGCCAAATGGGCTAGCTCCTTCTGCCTCAAACCTGAACTGACTGAAAGAGGAAGTTCAAGCCTCACTGCCTGTTCTCTCCTTGGACTTTGTTTTGATACTGCCAGGAAAAGTGTTGTAAGAGATTTTTAGGCAATCTCTTGGCAAATTTTAAACACTATGTATCAAGAGTCAAAGCAGAAATTAAAAGGAAACAAAAACGAGTCTAAAGGTAAATAGTTTTACACTTTGAAATTTACAAGCAATAGTGAATGTGATAGATTGTAATGGGATTCATCTGGATGCCAGATGCAGAATTATTGTTAAGTGACTAAACACATAGCAGAAAGGAGACCTACAATAGAGACATTTTTCCAAAATTTCCCACTGTTGCTAATCCTGTTTCAGCTCCAATAAGGTTAGCAATAATGGGAGCCTTAGTGTAGGCCACTGGGTGCCAGAGGCATTTTTAACAACAATGTTAATTAGATTTCCTCTTAGAAGGAATATCTCAGATGATGCAACATTAAAAACGTTTTTGGCCTATCTAATCAAGGACTCCCAATGTTACTACCACCAGGGTGCCTGAATCAACATAAGCAACTGCTACAGACAGGGCTTAAGAAATCTGACGCAAGCTATATGATGACATATTGTAGTTGCTGTTCATGAATGAGGGTAGGAAAAGATTATTTGGAGACATTTTTTAGACTTCATGTGAAACAAAAAGACAAAAAAGCCAGTTAATGTTTCCCTTTTGTTTTAAGTTCAAGTAATTTTTATACAGGGACAGAGGAGATAAGATATTTTGCATTTCAGTAGATTAAATACAAACTTAACTTCATGTCAGCTAGTGGCAATTTGTTTAGGAACACACATGGAATATAATTAATTGTGTGAGCCTCCCCAAACCATCTCTGATTACAGTGTATAGCTTAGGAAGGGTATGTACCAGCACAGCCCAATAATAAAATATTTGCAGGTTCTAGATTAAATTCTTTTGCAGCTTGAAGGAGATGTCACCTTCCTGCGTGTGTTTAGAATATCCTAATTCTAGCCTATGCAACAGGGAACTGTGACTGAAACAAGAATTTTTCATCAAGATCTAGAACAGTCTTACTCTTCAGAGTTATGCCAGTTACAGCAATTTGTGGTAATAAGATTCATAAAGCGGGTGGTTAGACTATCAGTGATAATATTGTTTAAATGGTTCATCTTTGCGTCATCTTCTTCATGGATAAGCTTCCATTGACTGAAAGAACTTACTGGGCATGATGTTTTCTTTTGGAGGCATGAGATGCATTTGTCAAAGATGTTTTTAAAAAAAAAAAAAGAAGCTCCCCTGTTAAGTAAGCCCCTTTATTGCTGCTTTGAATTGACTGCCATGACTCTAGATGGATTTGATGGTAGTTAATTGTGGAACATGCTTGCTTTCTCACAACTCTGAAGATGGAGAGTTTTACCCTTCACCAAAATTCAGTTCTGTCCATTCTTGTTCTTCAGCACTTCTGTACCAAAATGCACTGGCTTCAGTGGGCATCGAGGTATTCGGTGAGCACATATTCAGAGCGCTGGGTGAAATGATAAGCAAACTAACATAACTCTTTAACCGGTTGGAGTGTTTTTCTGTTTGTGTTGGTAATAAACTGAACAAATAGCCTAGTGAACACTATAGTCAGTGTCCTGCGCATGCAGTTTTTATTTAAAACATAAGGCATCTTGTGCCCAAGACAGAAAAATTCTTTGCAGCTTTACTTACACTTTATTACTATTATTATTTCTGCTAGTTCTCTACAAGATAATTGGGAACACGGTATAAGTGAACTGTGTCCAAAGTAGCATATGAACCATGCATCTCATCACTTGAGTTCCCTCTACTCCTCTTCAACCCTACCCCAGTTCGCATTAGTGTTAGATAATGCAGACAAGATTCATATGAACCATCTGTTCCCAGGTAGGAAGGTGGTGCATAGTGGTATACCATCCTTGAAGGCTGAATGCAAACATGCCCATTAAATATAATGTAAAGTAGTGCAGACGCCCTACAGAAGTTAGCAGAGAGGAAAGGGGCAGGTATAATGGGAAGACATTTTTGCAGGACTGGTAGTCCTGGCACACACCGCCCAGTATAGCACTGTACCACTAACATCATTGCGGTAACCTGATTTGCCCTTAAGTTCCTTTAGGCTTCTCCAGAGGATACAAAGTCCAGTATTCCCTGAGTGTGCACTCAGTTTCTTCCAGCCAAGCTAATTTTGTTGTGCTCCTTCCATTCCTCCATCCCCTTTTACTTGCAAGTAATGCTGCTTTGCTCTGAGCGTTTTCTGCCCTCCTCAGTACTGCCCTCAACTTTGCCATGAAAACAGCTCTTCGTGTTTGTTCTGACTGAATCGCTTTCTGCGTGGAGCTGATATACACAACTATACCTCTTAGCTGGCCTTTATGAGACGAGAGGTTTCCCTGTCTCTGAAATAGAGCCAGTTGTGTCCAGCCACCTCCTCTGCAGGCCTTTATAACTCCTTCCTTTGGCAGACACAACTTGCCTCTCCAGGCTCTCCATCTTTCTGTTGTCTAAAAAATTTCACGTAGTCTCGATGTGTGGTTTGAAATAAATGTCTTGCAGAGCTGATTTCATGATTGGAAGCTGCTTTAGAATTCAGTATCATTTCAATAACCTTGCAGGGTCCTAGATCCCAGGCTCCAGCTCGAGCTGGAACGTCTACACTGCAGTTAAACAGCCTCTTAGTTTGAGCCCCACGAGCCCAAGTCAGCTGACAAAGGCCAGTCACAGTGTAACTGCAGCGTAGACATACTCTTCAAGACCCAGAAAATAGTATGCTAAACGTGTACCTACTAAACAAACAGGATAGAATTCCACCAGTCTTAATTTACAAAGGGGTCTGCTCATGTTCAACACAAGCTAGCCTCTCAATACTCCAAATGGGAGTTATAATGCATTTGGGTTAGTTTTTCTTTGAGGCAAGACCAAGTATTAAGAAAGTGCATTGTTGTGAACAATGACATACTCATATGAGGTCCAGCTGAAAAAGAGCTCGGAGTCAAAATTCATAGTCAGGTGCATGCTGTAGAATCAGGCTTGGCAGAATTCAATTTTTATTTTTTCACCATTTCGACAGATATCAATGTTTATTTTAAAGTGTTTTTCCTATTTTTACATATTTAAATGTTCCCAGTTGTGGGAAATTATGGGGCTTCAGACCATCGGGGATACAGACAATAATTATTTAATGACAGCAGACACCAAGATATAAAAAGTGAAAGCTTTATAACCGTTGAAACTCAAATTGTCAACATCACAGGTCAAAATATACAAAGTAAATATCCTTAAATTAAACTCTCATGAGTTGGCAAGCAGCATTTTTCTTACTTTGCCTAGCTGTAAATGTCAGTTATTATTGATGGAAGTATTTTTTCATCAGTTTGTGTGTGTGGTGAAATTGACATTCACTGATAAAAATCCAATCCTTCCAAGCCTGTGTATAATGCTGTCGGTAATTGACAGATTCATGCTTCCAGCTTTATATATATGAGTAATTTTACTCACATGATAACTCTGTTGAACAAAGCCATTGCCCATCTACCGGAGTACCTGTAAGGGGAGGTTTGCCCCACCTTTTCCATGCATATTTTCCATGCCATATTCCTGAGCCACACAGTACTTCTGGAAAGAACTCTGTTACATCACAATCCTGTTACTTACTCCATGTGTTACACATTTTTCATTTTCTCTTCACCTTGCATCTTGCCATATGTTTTAACATCAGGGAAGAAAATTGTGTCCTAGCTACCTGTAAAGGTAAAACGTGAGAGAAGTCCACAATATCTATCCTGAATGATTTGCCAAGAGACAGCGCTGCCAGTAGGTGTCGTTGATGGGTTTTCATCTAATTATATTATTTTTTTCCTTTTTCTCTTTTAGTGTGGCAAAGGTGCTGAAAACTTCGACAAATTCTTTACTCGAGGACAACCAGTGTTAACACCGCCTGATCAGCTGGTCATTTCTAACATAGACCAAACAGATTTTGAAGGGTTCTCCTATGTCAACCCACAGTTTGTACACCCAAGCTTACTAAGTGTAGTATGAAGCTGATAGACATGAACAAACCACACAGTGGAAAATGGACCTTTGCCCTAGAATTTTTAGGCCTTTGCCTTGTTGGTTTCAGTTGGGCCTGGAAATTGTAGAGTAAAAAGTTCAGGAGGAGGGGGAGGGAAAAGGACACTCATTCAGGATTTGGCTTTGCAACAAAGAGAAGTTGTCTTAGTAGGAGCTCATGTAATAGACAGTGCCCATTTATTCACACTACTGGCTGTAGGGTTACTCTTATGAAGTCAGCCATTTTTGGTCTATTTTAATATATTTGCATAGTTTCTATTGACCTTTTCCAATTCCCCTCCAGCACTGGAAAAGCATATTAGAAAGAATGAAACAGCATCAAGTAGACTGGAAAAAAAAAAGCAACCCCCCTTAAAATGGAAAGTCTTCAGCCCTTAAATGTGGATAGCATGGAATGTGAGCCCTCGGCCCTGAGGGACTACTCTTCCTTTTGGTCTTCCTGAAGAAACAGCACAAGTGACTGGAAGGGAGGGGCAGCTGGGGGGCGGGGAGGAGCACTGTGTAAGATTGCTCAAAGCAAGATGTGTCAAAACTACTGCTTTTAGGTACCAGGTTGGTTTTTTTAAGGAAATAAAGTCGGACTCTTGGGCTCTGAGACTCACTTGCAGACACAAATTTAAACAGATTTTCAATAGCAGCCAGATATTTAGGACTGATGGTAACTAGCGCGCAGGGCAAATATTAGCTCAAGGATAAAATTGCATAATTAATAGTAATAAAAATAATAATACTTATGTTAACTTTAATCTCCATGAGATTATTCTGTGATCCAGGGTGCCATTGTTAGTTATATTAATTTAATTTACACCACTACTCAAGTTCATTGTTAGCCAGTTCTATTAATACCAATATTTTGCTATAAAACTTTTGTTAACCAGAGTGTGAAACAGAACTGTAACCCCTTACAACCCACTCACGCTTATTCATTTAGTAGGCTGCAGAACAGGGTAGTAGAGGAGAGCACTGTGTGCAGTTAGTTAATGACAGTGCGGAGTTCAGAGTCACTTCCTGCTTTCCCCAGGGTAACTTAGAAAAATATGAGGGTTTTTTGGTTTAAATTCCACTTTAAATATTGGTTAAAAACCTGTGGAGCTGTAGAACTGAAATAAAAAGCAGTTAAAAATTGTTTTATTGGTAGAAGGGAATTTAATACATTTTGCAGATGCTTCATGCAATGAATTTTGCATGTTTAATAATAACCCTTAATAAGCAAATCTCTATTATTGACATAATCGTATCAAGTATAGAGTATTAAAAAAATTATAAGACAAAATTGTGCTATGTTTGTGAAGGTTCTTGTTCTAAATGAGCATTATTATTTAGATTTAGCTTAATGTTTTCTTGCTAATTTTTTTCTGTTTTTGTTTTGTTTTTTTTAGTTTATGGATATGGTCAATGGAATAGGATATGCTATTTTTCTTTTAAATGTAGATCTATTTTTAAACAGTAATGGCTACTTGCAGGTTTTATACAAGATTCAATGATGCTTCTCTTTCACATCTATTACTTGCAAAAAAGAAAATAGATTTTCTTTATTTGCAGTGATGAACACTGTAATTAATGCAGTCTTCTCTTGTAGCAATCACCTGGTTAAAATGATTGTTATTTCCTTTTAGATCTTACTAGAAGATATTGATTCAAAGATCAGTAAATACTTTTGTGCATATTTTGGTTCCATGATGGCACGTAAATTGGTATAGTCATTTCCTTTTCCTTTTGCCTCGCTAATGTTAGCGATCTTAGACATATTTTGCCTTCCGGATGTGTATGTCAGTGCCAGAAGCATGTTGTCTCTTTTGCTGCATGCAGAGTGATCTACCGTTTTTTTCCCCAGCATGTAAACTTACTCTCACGCAAAGTAAAATATTTCCCATAAAATACTTATGAACGAATCAGAATCTGTAACGAAGGGTGCAATTTCCTTAACATCAGTTTTCTATTACAATAGATCATCTAAACTGTGCCAAAATACTGTGGAAGGGCACAATCCTGTAAACTGTTACTCATATGACTATTCCTTACCTCCTTGAGCAATCTCACAGATTGCAGTGGAGTTATGTCTGGGTGAAATTCAGCCATGTGCAGACGGCCAGTATAAAGCTTATGTATCTCTTCTATTCTCAAAAGTTGAGGGTGTCAGTGGTGCATAGTCCTCATGACTTGTGCTGATCTTTTGCACAGGAATGGATTTCACCCACAGATACTCCTATTGCAATCTCTGGGACCACTCTCATAAGAAAAGGTCTACTCATGTGAGTATGAGTTTTTGGGATCAAGCTCAAAGTGAATGAGTAATCCTGGGCTACTGGTAAAATGGAACATTTCTGAGATCTTAGAGAAGCACACTGCAAATGAGGAGCACTATAAACAAACCAGAGCTCAAGCTATTGCTGAACTACAGAAACTTTCAAACAAATTTCAAAACAAAATTTAAAATTATTTTAGGAATAATAATTTAAAACAAAATCTGTGTCAAAATATTAAGTTATCTGCCAAACCTGAGAATGAATTGTCTTGTTTGTGTATCATATATATCTTTAAAAACATGGGTATGCAACATAAAGTATGTGGACATCTGTATAATTTCATGACCTTCTACATTATTCTAATCTACTAGCATTGACTCCTGACACAGGGTAGGGACAGCAAGGCATCAAGCCACATTTTGATGATGGGTTCAGTAGATTACTTCAGAGGCTCAGATTTAGAATAAGGGGCTGTTAACATCACAGCCACCGATATTGACAGGAGCTGTCATTAAATGTACTCTAGGGGTACATCTGCCCTGCAATAAAAAACCTCCGGCACCTAGTCTCAGAGCCTGGTCAACTGAATTGGGCTCATGGTGTGCAGGGCTACAAATTCCAGTGCAGGTGTTCAGGGTCGGGCTTGTGCCTGGTCTCTGAGACCCTCCACCCTTGCGAGGCTTCGGAGCCATGGCTGCAGCCCAAGGCCAAAGATCTATACTGCAATTTTTAACCCCACAGCCCGAGTCCTACAAGCCTAAGTCAGCTGACTCGGGCCAGTCATGGCTGAGCCAGTAGTCTTTTATTGCAGTGTTGGTGTACCCTTGGAGTATGATGTTGGGTGTTAGGTAACGGAGAGACTTTGAAAAGGAAAAATAGAAAAGGATAGCAGAGCACAGGAGATTTAGAGATGAGAGAAGCCGCTGGGGAGAAATGGAACAGAGCCAAGCTGGACAGGAGATTGGTAGACAAGATATGGAACTTCTGTTTTCCTTACGTGATATCAGTGGTGAAGTGGAGCTATGGAATTCATAAGTTGTAGACCCACATTTTAAATGTTAAACAGTACTGTGCCTACTGGGGCATAGCATTAAAGGGCTGGTCCAACATCCAAACCTCAAAAAGATTTGCTTTTGTTCATTTCCTCAAGATTTTTCATTTTTATTTTCTTAAGCATTTGCACATGCTCTGCAGTTGGTAAGGTTAAAAACAGGAAGTCATCTCTGATCGTGTTACCTCAAAGTTCCTGTGATTGGGACCTCTCCTGTCTTCTTGTGTAAGTTTTTGTAATGCTAAAAAGGGGTACTGTGAACTCGCCCATCCTGCAAGAATAAGGCAATATTGTGCAGAACTGTCTAAAAGTGACTGTCTAGACAAGTTATCGTTAATTTACTATACCTTACTCATGAGGTTTCATATGAGCCCTGATGTTAGGACCAGCCCTTTACACACAATTTAAAAGGCACATCCAGTGATTTCCTTATGATTTGGAAATGCATTATAGAAAGTAAAACCCTAAGTGTACAGCAAAAGTGTTCCTAATGCCATTTTAATACAGCTGTTGTTTATTTATCAGATATCTATATACAGGTGTGGCTGTCCAGAGAACTTTGGTTAACATGAGTAGTCAACATTAAAATGACCTCATTTAAGTTAGAACCTTTCCCGTTGAGGCGACAAAACCCCCTGATATCATGAGTTTGTAAAACTAGAACTGACATTTTGTTGCATTAATATTTAGGTCAAAGTTTTAAGAGCCTGATTTTATAAGTCCCTGAATGGACTCTGCTCCTGTTGACTTCTGAAGGAGTTGAGTGCCCCGGACCCCCATGATTAGGTAATATTGACACTATGCTGCAGCAGTTGTAGGTGCCTGTTGGAGATTAATTGGGCTGAGGGCCGATAAATGTAGAGATGTCCCAAAGAGGTTGTTAAAATCTCAATTCATAGGGAATTTTAACTATTGAGAAAAAGTTTTGGCTTCAGGCTGCTAATCTGAAACTGCTTGCGATTGACCATGTTCCATTTTTCCCCTAAAAAAAACCCCCCCAATCAACTGCATATTTTTAAAACGAGTGTGTTTTTAAAAAAGAAATTATAAGTAACATATCTCTACATAATGTGTTAGAAACACTCTCTGTAGATGCAAAACTCTGTCCATTTCCCAGGTTGAGGCAAAAAGACAGCTGCATTAGTGAGTAACCCGTGAAATAAATGGAGTCTATGTGTTCCTGTCTGTAGGTGAAATCCACCCGTATGCAGAGAGCTAGCACAAGCCTTGGAACCACTTAAGTCACACGTAAGCCCTCAAGGAATGAATTGGTTCCTATGCCTCCTACTGGCCCTCTTCATGGGGTGGATTTTACTCTGTGGGCAAAATCCTTCAAGTCTTTATTTACGTCCTATTGATTTCAGTGGGATTACTTGGGTGAGGTAAGGACCGCTATGTGAATACAGACTTGAAAGACAGAGCCAGTTGATCTGCACTCCATTCCTATTGCTATCAACAGGAATTGCACATGCATAAAGAGAGAATACACTCCTAACATTGAAAATTCCAACGTAACCCAGGTTAGAAATGCGGGGGAGGAGGAACGGACATTTAGCCTTTAGACCTTTCATACGCTGCAGAAATAAAATGTGATTTTTCTTTTAGAACCTAAATACAATTACACTGTCAAAACCATCCATTAGTGAATAAAGCAGGGGTGGGCAAACTTTTTGGCCCGAGGTCCACATCTGGGTGGGGAAATTGCTTGCAGGGCAGGGGGTTGGGGTGCGGTGTGTAGGAAGGGGCTCAGGGCAAGTGGTTGGGGCAGAGGAGGGGTGCAGGATGTATGAAGGGGCTCACGGAAGGGGGTTAGGGTACAGGAGGGATGTGGAGTGCAGGAGGCGGGTCAGGTCGGGGTTGAAGTTCAGGAAGGGAGTTGGGGGTGCAGGAAGGCTGTGGGATGCAGCAGGGGGCTCAGGGCAGGGAGTTGGAGTGCAGAAAGGGCGCAGGGTGCAGGTGGGGGCCCAGGGCAGGGAGATGGGGTGCAGGATGCAGGAGGGGTTCAGGCTCCGGCCCGGCGCCGCTTACCTAGAGAGGCTCTGGGGTGGCAGCGGGGCCAGGGCAGGCTCCCTGCCTGCGAGCCCCGGCCCCGCACTGCACCACTCTGGGAAGCAGCCGGCATCAAGTCCCTGCACGGCCCTGGGGGGGGGGGGGAGGAGGACACAGGGCTCCGCATGTTTCCCTCGCCTGTGGGTACCTCCCCAGAAGCTCCCATTGGCCGTGGTAACCCGTTCCTGGCCAATGGGAGCTTTGCGGAGAGGTACCCACAGGCAAAAGCAGGGTGCGGAGCTCTCTGCCGCCCCACCCCTACCCCCAGGGGCTGTAGGGACGTGGTGTGGCCGCTTCCCGGAGCAGCGGTGGCAATCCTGCGGGCCGGATCCAGCCCATGGGCCATAATTTGCCTGGCCCTGGAATAAAGTAACCTACAGCATGTGTACACTCTGATCCTTTAAAATCCTTCCTGTCCTGCAGGGTCAATTCCATGGGAAAACAACTGAGCTCCTGTAAAACAAACAAGGGGAAAAGCCTCTCTCCTTGTAGGAAAGGTGGAATGTTAAAGGTCCAGAGTTGCAATTCCTGATGACACTTATGGGTATTGGTATTCTACTGTTGAGAATAGCCCACTTCCACTTTAATTGAATTGTCTCGATAGCACTGACCCCGCACTTGGTAAGGCAACTCCCATCTTTTCATGTACTGTGTATATATACCTACTTACTGTATTTTCCACTCCATGCATCTGATGAAGTGGGTTTTAGCCCAGGAAAGCTTATGCCCAAATAAATGTGTTAGTCTCTTAAGTACTCCTCGTTGTTTTTACTTATGGGCATGTTTCCCTTCGGTGCATGCACATGACTCCAGTTAAACTGAGCGGGAGTTACATGCAATCATCAAAGGGAGAGGATACTCCATACTAAGCAAAGCACAACATTGGAAACACCAGTGATAAATCTTTGATATCATTAGAAAGGGTATTTGGAGTATTTGGTCTGCAGTAGCTGTGCTAACCTGCCAAGGAATTTCTGGAAATGTAATATGATTTTGTTTGTTTTAGTCATTGCCATAAATTATTGTGTATGGTTTTTGTTTCTTTACAAACATCCGTGTCAAATACAGGAATTCAGTTAGATCTGTGCTGTTAGTTAGGGAGACATTTAGCTACATTAAAAACTAAAAGACAGTATATAAAAGCCAAACCACTTTTTCCTTCAATTCCCTAAACTTAGAAACTATTTCAAATGTTTAAATGAAGTGTTATACAAAAATTGACACAGTAACCATGTCTGATTTCATATCAATGAATAGTGGTGCCAGTAATGATTGGTAATTAAATAGCCTTATAATGGATTATAGTCATGCACTAAAGCCCTCCTGTTCATAAGAAAATCGAGAGGAGGGGGTGCTCTCGTGTTCTGAGCACAGGTGTGGGATACATGAACATGTATTCTGATCCCAGGTCGATCACTGACTCCCTCTGTGGCCTTGGGCAAGTTACTTAACCTCTCTGCCTCAGTTTCCCCATCTGTAAAATGGGGATAATAATACTTACCTCCTTCACCAGGTATTGTGAGGACTACTTAGTTAATGTTTCTAATGACTTTTAACATGAAAAGTGTTATGTAATTGGAAGTATTATTATAATTTTTTAATAATAAATAAATCAGTTTATTCAATTCACATGGTGTTGCTGGATATACCATGCTATTTATACTTTTATATAACTTCAGTAATTCTACTAAAACCATTTAAAAGAAATAACATATCTGTTTCTTGTAGGATCTGGAGTACAGCTTAGCTCTTGTTAACTGAACTCGTATCACAATGTGAAGTGTTGCTTGCCAGTCATGTAGAAGTCCGTTGCACTACCCATTTTCCAACTACTGAGACTTCTTTGTGCAATTTAGAAAAATTTTAGCAGAATTGATTGTAGAGCAAAATTCCATATGGCTAAATAAAATTGACAACCCAACTGGTTTCTAGTCACGCTCAGTTATCTCTTTTAACAGGGGGAAGTGATCTTTTGTTTGCAGTTTTCCCATCAGTGAGGATTTTGCTCAGCTGGTAATTTAACTTGCATCTGTGAGGTGCTGGGCTCCTGCTTCACCCAGCTCCATGCTTAGCTACAGCGTCACAGATAGTTCAACTTGCAGGGGAAACAGCCCCAGACACTATATTTTTCTTCTATCTGTGATGACTGGCTAAAAATTCTGTAATGTTTATAAATCATTTTAAGGATAGAAATGCAAAAGCAATAGCAACAACATTGATCATGTTGCAGGCCTTAGCCTGCTTCCATTGAAGCCATAGAGCTGGATTTCACTCTGGTTTATGACTGGTGTAACTTCATTCACTCATTTTTAACGTCCCCTGAAGTCCAGTGATGCAAGGGCACAATCCCGCTGCAAGTAAACTCAGGACGTTTTTCTATTGACTTCGATGGGAGTCAGAATAGGTGGTAGGTGAGATCCAAATCTGTTGCCCTTTTATGTCAATGGGCGCAGACTGGGCCATATATTAATTTTTGATTAGAAGGACCTGTCGTGAAATCTTCAGCTAATAGCAAGTTATTTTTTATAATTTATAAATAGGTGAAAGAAACAGATTTTGAGAACAATAATCTTTGTTTTTTAATCTTTATGAGCCCCCATTATTATTTTTTTTTTTTTAAGAAAAAAAGAATAATTTGAATTGATAAAGTAACAAACTGTTGGGTTTTTTTCCCGGTTGAACAATTGTGCAGAATCAGCATTATTTGCGCCCTTGCCTGTAGGGCTCAGTCTTGCTGGTCACTCTGGCTCTGATCCAGCCAAGCGCTTCATGGTACTTTACTTTAAGCACATGAGTAATCCCACTGGAGTTAGAACTACTCACAGGCTTGTAGCTCAGAATGTGCTTCAGTACTGTACTGGATCCAGGGTCATCGTGCTCCACACCTTGCAGAACCGAGCCGTTAGCCCCGTTCAGTAAAGCATGTAATCATATGCTTAAGTCCATCTGTGCTTAACTTCCAGCAGCACATGCTTAAGACCCATTGAAGTCAGTGGGACTTAAACGCATGCTTGAGTGTTTTGCTGAATTGGAGCCTTAGTGAGCATTCTTGCTGTAAGGCGAAGATTTAACACTGCCAATTTATTTCCCCAGAAAGAGTTTCAAATGTATTCTCTTCTTTGAGTTACGAGAATGAATGTAAAAGCTTAAAAATGCAGCTCACAATACTTGTACTTTTAGCAAGATAATGTCTGTCTTTTATAGAATACGCCTGAAACATTTGAAATCATTGCATTTGTTGTGTTAACATTCTTTTATTTTTTTATCAAGGAATAATATCACCTTGAAATCATTAACAGTGAAGGATATCATTTTAAGACACAAACTTTGTTTTTATAAAGAGGAGAACATTATTTTCTTATTATTTAATTGCAAGATACTATAGGAAAATGTGGAGAGGTGATTCATTTCTTAAAAAATATTGGAAGAATAGCTGGCAAGATTGATGTATAAATTACTGCATTGTTTTTTCTTAGTTCTTTAACCTTTAATCTTTGTTTGCATGATATGCTTTTGTTAAATATTAATTGTAGTTTGAAAGCAAGTGTGTCTGAATAAAGATGCTTGATCATTGCTTTGTGTTCTTTTGTCTGGCTTATATCCTTTGGGGAACTCCAGTGACTGAATTCTTTACTGTAAAGTTAGAGGGTGGACCTTAGCTCAGGTCCAGCACGTCCCCAAACTTTGCACTGCTTAGATCCAGGGATTTGGCTTAGCCAAGCTATGAAGTTCAGAGCTGGATCTGAATTTCCCACTATTACCAAAGGATCATTTGGTTGTAAATATCCAACAATTTGTGATATTTACTTACAGATTACATCCCAGTACTCGAATGACTGGACATGTCCACCATATATGTATAAAATCTCCACTTTCACCACAATTTCTTCATCATTTATCTGCATTCAATACAAGTACACATGTTCTCTCAGCCTGACTGGTGTGAGGTACCATGAAACAGTACCTTAAAGAAATTTAATTGTGCTACAGTCTGAGGTTGCTGGTCCTCTTTTTTCAGATCAGCCCATTCCTCTGGGGTGATTTGTCCCTTCTCCAGCATGCCATATCTGGACACTTTTTTTGTTGTTGTTGTTGAAAGACATCTGCAAAGATTTATATAAATTAGTTATTTATTTTTGTTTCCTAATTGACCAGACCCTATTGCTTCAAAGTTAGCTTTCTGTATAAAACAGTTATTCTAGAAAGTTGAGAAATATAATGCCTAACTTGAAATAGTGGTATCATGGGAGAATGGGCCAATTAAAGTTAGTTTTGGTCTCTAAATAAGTTAGAAAAGTTTCTTTATTGAAAAGCTGGTCAACTATATGTATTCCATCTCTCCCCCAATCTTTAAAACTCTGGTCCTTGATTTGCATTAAGAGCTGAATTCTTTGCAATGGGTGCCATTGGCAAGGGACAAGAATTTAGTTCTATCCCAAACCCATAGGATAGCATGTGCTTTTTTTAATGTTGTTTTTCTAAAATTCCTCATGTAACGTTATTCCATCTCTGGTGCACATGATGGTGCTGATATCATTGATGCTTGCTGTCAGTGACATCATAGAATGAGATGCTGTTAAACTGTGACGCAGCAAAGCAAGAGGAATTCTTCCTCTTTCATCCATATGGTCAGTTTCTTGTTCACTTTCATTTGCAGCTAGGATAAGACAGGATACTTTTTTGATCTGTAAGGAGCTGATCTGACTGTGACCCTGAGATTCTTTGCTTTGGAATAAAAACAAACAAAAAGTGTGGCTCATTTTGAGTTTGAATGCCCATGAATGCGCGCTATGCTTAATTTTAAAGTGAATTCTGCTGTGATGTATAATGATGCCCTACCAAACCTGTCTGCTCTCCCCTCTGGAGCTCTGAGTGTAATTTTGAACCCCATTGTGCTTTCTGTGGTGGCAGAGCAGGTGCATTTCAAACACTTTCCATTTAATTTTCAGCCAGCGCATTAACAGGCATCGCAGTTCTTTTTGCTTTCAATTCTCAGTAATGAAGTCTGTAATCCATTTTCACTCTCATCCTCAGCCTGCCTGTGATGTGAATTTGTTTTACCACATCCATGATGGAGGACACACTTTTTCTCCTTCCAGCGTAATCTTTCTATTCTGCCTCCCGTAACCCTTGCCTGTCTGTGCACGCCTACTAGTCAAGGCTTAATCTTCCATGTCTTGGCCAGCATAGTTTTATCCTCAAATACCAAAAAGCAATTTTGATCACATTATACTGAATGGCGTCTCCAGAGACCAGATCTTGCCTGCACCATTCTGAGATATTTGTTGAACCTCACACTCAGTTCCTTAGTTGGGTGGTTATTACATAGCAATAGGTCTGGCTGACTCTGTTCTCTTTCCCACCCACAGAATCTGAGGCTCTTGTACTCTCTTCAGCCTTGATATGAGCATGTGCAACTTCTACTGAAGGCAGTATTTTAATTGAAAAATACCCATCTGCTCCCTTTCCCTGAAACCTTCTGCACAGTAAAATAGTGAATTAGGGAAGCTGATTTGTCAGTTCTCAGCTAGTATAAATAGGAAGTTGGTGGTGTGACGGGGTCCACTTACAATAGTGGCACCTCCTGCTAGTTGTCATGGGGATTAGTGCGCCCTCTCCACCTGCAAACCAACCTCAGTCCAAGTACCACAGCATCCTCTTCAGCACTCGGCCCTCTGATCATGTCACCATCTGTGTTTCCCCCTTTCAGAGTTCGGTATCACTGTCCACCAGTCAAACCCGCCTGCTACTCTGGGTCCCAACCCAGGGACCCTGTAGATAGCAACTCCCTGCTGAGTTGTCTTAACTTTCTTCAGTGCTGCTTCAATTTCCTGGCCACTTCCCAGCGCCCCAGCACTTTCTTTGCCCTATTCTCAGGGCATTCAGCCAGCAACTCCCAGCAGCCAGCCAGGAGCTCCTATGTACTTGCCCAGTCCCTGCCAGCAACTGCTCTGTCCATCTGATGAACATCTGATGAAGTGAGCTGTAGCTCACGAAAGCTCATGCTCAAATAAATTGGTTAGTCTCTAAGGTGCCACAAGTACTCCTTTTCTGTCCAAGGTGCTACCCTTGCTGTAGCCTGCTAGGAACACCGTCCTCACTCCTTGGGCTCCCCGCAGCAACTGACACTGCTCTGCCCTGCAGTTCCTTACTAGCCTGCTGGGCCCTAATTGGCTGCTTCGTGCAGCCTCCCTCCAATTGGCTGCTTGGAGGACTCGCCTCCACTGCTGCTTTCTGGGATAGGGTGTGGCACGTCCTCTGAGGCCTCCGGATGTGGCTCCTTTTCTGCTGCAATGGGATCAGAAGGGGAGAAACCATCAAAAGATCAAAGGCAGGGTCTATACGTTCACCATCAACTTCACTGTTTAGATTAGAACCTCGAGCTGCTTCATTCAGCAGCTGTGACAGCAATGTGATTTGAGGATGCTTGGCCCCATCCAAGATCAGGTATCTAATATCTCTTTGCTTCAGCTTCCCCATCTGGAGACTCACACTTACTATTTCACTGGGCATGTTGCAGGGCTTAATTTCTTAATGTTCGTGAAGTCTGTGGAGATCCTTGCATGGAAGGTGCTGTATAATTCAGTATAGGTAATGCAGTCAGCAGTCTCCTAGCCTTGCAACGGCTGGGGTATGCCTCTCAGGCTACGTCTACATTACCAGCTAGGGATGTGATTCCTCTGCTCTTGGGCACATGCTCACATTAGCTTGATGAGAGCTAGCGTGACTATAAATAGCAGTGTAGCAGCAGAAGCATGGCTGAGCCAAGCCAAGTAGAAACCCACCTGAGACCAGCTCTATAAGAGCTAGCCTGGGTACGTATACGCCAGCAGGGGAATCACAGCCCTAGCTCATGGCATAGAAACAGCCTCAGAACTATCGCTCAGAATGCAAATGCAATATTGACCTCGTACCTCGTAACAGGTCTTTGCAGCCTGAGTACCAAACAGATTAAGAACGGAAATGTTTGCAGCTCATCTCTACTCCACTTTTCGGCCGAATGTAGGAGATGAATTGAAATGCCCAGATATCATGCAAGCACGTGTCACACTCTTCAGGTATTGGCAGCGTTCGCAGGGTCACTAGATTTTCAGGTCAGATAGAGCTCATTAGAAGCCAGTCTCTGAATGCCCTGTGGATTAGGTTCTTCTCTCAGGAAAGGTTAGCATGTCAAAATGAGAGGCATGTGTGGGCTCAGAGTTATTTTGGACTTCAGCTATTTAGGAGATACATGCACTACCCATGTAGATGAGGTATTGCAGCCTTACGTAATTGAGCTCTACAATGAGGATGTTTTTCCCTGGTCTAAGTTGGTGGTGGGGAGGAATGCCAGATACGTTTTCAAAGCTGTTCAAAGGACGAGCATAAAAATCCCATAGGCATAAGTAGGCTGTATAGACACAAACACTTCCAGGAGCTGACTGAGAAAATGTTCCAGAGCACCCAGAATGATCTTTCAGTTTTCTGAGCTTCATAGGATATTGGATCTATAAAATACTTGTACTGCCTGCAAAGCTATAAAAGAGCAAAGCATACCTCCACTTGGGACTCACTTAAAATGCAGTGGCAGGAGGCCATAGACTGATAAGAATGTATCCTAGTGCTCCAAGACTTGGTTCAAGGGAAGACTACATTTCCACATTCAAATGAGTCACATCTCCTTTGGGGAACATTAATGATGCCTTAGAAGCCTTGATAAACAACTTGGATAGCTGGGTCATGTTTCTCTTCACAGCTAATTTGTATGCACCATTCCAGGTGGCCATATAGAAAGTAACATTGGTTAGATTTACTGGCTGAATAGTCAGTTATGAAAAACGATCAGTGATAATTAATTCCCTCTTTTGCCCGAGTAGTCTTTCAGAATGGCGTGCACTTGCCTGAAACCATCTGTACTGCATGAGAAGGAATACAGAGCTTATCACAGACCATGTACGAGGTTGATCCTTGCTACCCACCACTGTTTAAATTACTGTAAAGTGCAGCTCTTTGACAGGAGGCTCAGCAGAACTCTGGCTCCTTGAATTTGGAGACTGCACTCCAGCTGGTAGCAGCAGATGAGAGCACATCTAGAAACGCATTATGGTGAGAATCAGAAAACTATCTTTGGCATCCATAATTAATTTCTGAGGAGCTCTTCTCTTCCCACCCCCGCACCCCAATAATCTCGAGAAAATGTCCATAGTATCCCCCCCCCACCTTACAGCTGAGAGGGCTTGGGTGCCACCATTTCATCACTCCTAAATCATACAGGAAGGTCACCCCAGAGCACCATGATGCATTTCAATCTCCCTCTGACCCATGAAGCCAAAATGGAGCCCAGAGATTAAACCTATTTCCCCAGTATGGTAGTACGGTTAAACTGAAATTTCTCCCCTGTGTTGACAGCCAGCAAAAGAGCCAGGCACCACTTAAGCCCTCAAAATAGTGGACTCAAGATACTTAGGACTTGTGCTGACCCCCTGCACAGGGGTGAATTTGACCTGCGGGGAATACTAACCACTAAGTCAGTCTAAGGGTTAGGCTGATAACCTCTATGGCTTTTGAAACAAAATGTAAGGAATAGAAACTTC